GCGAGGCTCGGGAACTTGACCGCCAGGAGGATGACACCCCGACGCACGTGCGTGCGGCAAGGGCGCCCGGGCGGCGCGCGCCTCAAGATCAAGTTCAAGTTCAGGGACGCGGACGGACACTCTGTAGCTCAAAACCGCCACCACCGGTCTTCTGGCCCACTGTGGGCCGGCTCTCAAGCCGTTCCGTTGTCTCCTCGCCGTTTCGCACCGTCGTCGCTTTCGGCCGTTTTTAGAGTTTTATAGTGCCGGGGGCTTGGCAGTCCTTGTGGGGCGGCTCGTTTTGACCATGCCGGGCCGACCGGGACCGTGACCACCGCGCAATTTGTCCACCTGCAGCCGCTCGTCTCTCTCTGTCGCACTCGCGGCGCGACGGCGCGACCCCTCGAGAGACAGAGAGAGGCGCCGTTCGCACACACGCTCTAAACGGAGAGCGGGAAATAAAAGTGTGCGATTCGTCGCGCCGTCTCTGTCGCACGGGCCACCCCCGCGAGTGCGAGAGAGACGGAGACACTGAGGAATCACTTTGGTGCGCGACACTTTGTCCGGCCGGGTCGTAAGTCAATTTCAGATTACGCTGCGCCATCTGGGCGCTCGGTTTGACAAACCTGTGGGCCGCCGCGCCGCCGTCTTCGCGCACGACAGTTTCTCATATCTCCGTGTCTAATGACTCGGCCGCTGTAGCCGCTTTTGTGCGGGCGGAGTCCGTCGGATTTCGCGCGTTCGCGCCGAGAGGTTTCGCACGGCCGGACGAGACGACCCCGTCGAGGCCGAAATACTGTTTCGTTTCGAATCGGCATACGTCTGCGGGAGGATTTATTGCCCGCCAAGTGATTGTGTCATACGAGGTGACCGCACGCCGACGGCGCGAGCTGCGCGAGCGGCAAGGACTCGGCGTGTGTCATCCTTGGCTGATGCCTTCTCCCCCCCCCTCGGTGTATTGTGCCGCGTTGGACTCTCTGGACCACCGAGCGCCCCGCGTACTCGTCGCGTAGAGACCAGTGCAGTGGCACCGACAGTCTGGCTTGCCCAATGGGCTTGCCCCTGGATTTCTTTGTGGATCCCTCCGGACTCGGTTACCGTTTCCCCCTCCGATCATCCATCATCGCTGCTCGTGGCATTCGGCGTCTCTGAATCTGGAGACAATTGGCCGTCGAAGAGGGGAAGCCCCAAGTGACTTGCTTGTCGCTGGGTGGTGTTTGGCAGTGCCGGCGTCGGGAGCGTCGCCCGTAGTGCAGCGGCAACAACATGATGTCCCCGCGCGTGCCTCTAGTGGCTCCACGCCGCGCGGGCCGCGCCCCACGACGTCATGCCCGCGCTCGCGCCGCCCACCCGAGAGCACTCGTTCGCACGGCCCGTGGCTCGGCTCGGCTCCGCTCCGCCCGGCCCGGCCCGGCTCGGCTCGGCTCGGCTCATCTCCGCGGGGCGCCGGGACGCGGCGACGCCGCGACGCTCCCCGGTTCGTTACGCCCCAGTGGCTGGTGGCCCAGTGGTCGGCCAGCAGTCCGGCGTGCGCGTCCAGCCAGTCCGGGACCATCCGGGACCAACCAGTCCGCTTGACCGCCAGCCCAGCCAGCCAGCCATGTGGAAGCCCTCCAGGACCAGGGTCGTCACGTTCCGCGGTGAGGGCTCCCAGTGTACCGCCGTGGAGGGAAGCCCCGACCCGGCAGAGCGACGAGTGCACGTCGCGTGGACGTCGCGTGGACCGCGGAGGAGAGGAGCCCCTCGGCATCCTGGCACTTTGATTGGCGCGAGCCGATGCCAAAATGTGGGCCAGATGAGTTTTCTCCCTCACTTTGGCGCCTTCTTGACGCGCCGCCAAGTTTTTCCGCGTCTGCCCGCGGCGGCCGGCCCGGCCAAGCTGGCCGAAGCACACTGCTAAGAGTCTGCTCGTTGGGACTTTTTCAAGTCGATTCTCCTAGGCGCTTCCGGTGGAGGTGTTCCTGGAGGCACTCGAAGTGTTCCCGAACCTCACTGGAGGGTTTTTGGACCTCACTGGAAGTGCTTCTGGACCTCACTGGAGGGTTCCTGGACTTCACTGGAGGTGTTCCTGGAGGCACTGGAAGTGTTCCTGGACCTCACTGGAAGTGTTCCTGGAAGCACCAGAGGTGTTTCTGAATCACAATGGAGGAGTTCCTGGAAGCACTGGAGGTGTTCTCGGACCTCACTGGAGGCTCGCGAGGCGCTTCCGGAGCCACTGGACTCACCTGCAGAGCGCCGCATCGGCCAGCAGACCAACACACTGCCAGTGCCCGGCATGGCCGGCGCCCCTGACCAGCCCAAACTCGGTGTTTTCTCGTTTCACGCGTCCAGCCTGCCACCAGCAACACGTCTCTCTCGCACCTCGACGGCTTCCCCCGTGAGTGAGAGAGAGACGCCGCGACGGAATGAGTGTGGTGGCGCCGCGCCGCACCCAGTGGCCTGCCAGTGGCCTGCCAGTGGCGCGGATGCTTTCGGTCCGGTCTGGGGATGGTCGTTTAGCTGACGCGGTTACAGTGCACACCGCCAGAGTGAACAGTGTTTTTAGCTCTCGTTTATTGTTGTCTCAGTCACTTCGTTCAGGACGCAAAGTGCAGACTCTTTTCCTGTGGGAAGTTCTAGAAAAACAATTTTATTTTACGGTAGCTCCCTTTTTTTGTTGTTGTTGTCTGGTTAAGTCCATGTCCGTTTCGCGGAAGAAATGAATCTCTTTTTTTGCGCGGTGCGCGTCGCCGCCGCCCAAGGCGTTTGCCCGGCGGTCGAGCTGTACGACCCATTGTGCGAGGCAGGCCGAAGCAGGCGAAGCAGGCCCATCCCATGGCTGTCCACGGCGAGGACGAATTAGCTCGGCCAGTCAGTCAAAGAGGCCCCGTCGGCTCGTCAGGCCGGCGTCGGCGGCAGCTTGCCTGCTGATACACCCGATCCAAAACAAAAGTTTGATTTGTTTTGATGCGGCTGTTGTCGCCACTCGCAAAAAAAAACTACCAACTGACCTATGTTAAAGGGATGGTCCGGGAAATGACACGAAAAGTTGTGGGAAAATGAGGGAAGGTGACCGTCGGGTGAAGTCCGGCGCTAGGGACGCAACAATTACTTGTCCGCGACCAGATAGATTAATCTGGCTGCGAATCGCCACGGCCTGGTGCCACGATTAATCCAGTGTCATCTGATAAGCGGACGCGGCGTGGGCCGCCCCAGCGCACCGCGTGGCCTACGGTCAGAGGCTTCCTGACCGGGCGTAGCGTCTCCTCTCTAAATTTTTTGAAAAAAAAAAAAAGTAAAAAAATTGCACTTAAAACATTTTTTTAATTTTTTTTATGTAATTATTTCTTTGTTGGACGACGCTGTTTTTATTTCATGTCCCTCTCCTGGCGAGTCAGCCGTCAAAACGCTGCGTGTAAACTTGAAATTGGACGGCGGGACGCGGACTCTGGGCGGGGCGCTGGGCGAGGCGGCCAAGGGGTTCTAAGCCCGAAGTGCGTGGTCCCAGTGTAGTGGGAGGCCGAAGCCGATGGCCGAAGCCGATGGCTGGGGCGTCTTCTGCCACATCGAGGATGAGTCGATGTAAAGAGATATTTGCGATTGAAATTTGCCTCTCCCACGCTGGTGCCAGCCTTGTGGCCGCCAAAAGCAGAGGCGAGGTGGGCCGGGCGCGATAGCGAAGCAGCGTGGCAGCCAAAGCAGCGAGGCACTGGCCCGCGAATCTTTGTCTCGCTCTTTACGCAGTAGTGGTCTGGTTCAGTGTCGCCCCGTCTCTGTCGCACGCCGGTCGGACGCCCCGCGAGTGCGAGAGAGACAGAGCGACGAAGAAGGACAGGAATGAACCAAACATTCCGTCGGGGAATCTGCGGGTTGCCACCGTGTTTCCTTCGAGAGCTCGAACTTGGCAGTGTAGCTGACCGACACCAACTAATGGCAGTCCATCCCAGTCGGCGCAAGGTCGCTCGTTACTGACCTTAGACGACCCGATTAATTTAGCAACATCCTGATTGGTTGTTGTATCGAGTGCGTACGCAACGAGCGTGTACATGCGCGTACATATTGCGTCGCGGCGTGATGGGCGGTCTGCCTGCGGTTTCGATTTCTGTCGAACGGCTTGGTTTTTGTGTTTTATCACTGCAAGTGGTCCATTGCGCGCAGATGACAAGAGCACACACAGTGCCCGCTGTCTTGGTTCAGAGAGTCAATATTATTATTTGTTTTGTTTTTTCGGGAGTAGCAGACGATCCTTGCTCCATCTCGCTTCGTGATTGGCTCCATCTCGCTCCGAATACGGACGCGAGGCGCTAATTGCTGCTGCCTCGTTTGTCCTGCCTGCACACTGTGGGTCGGGAAAGCGCTTTTCCGGCCTCGTCTCGTTCGTTGGGGTTTTCCTCGTCGTTTGTTGTCGATTTCCTTTGGACTGTTTGTCATGGAAATGCGCGCCGCGGTTTTGCGCGAGAGTGATGCCCCCCCCCCTTCCCTCCGCCCGGCCAGTCGATGTAGGCTCAAGGTGACGTGCCTTGCCCGCTCGCGACGCGTCGAGAGGCTGCCCCTGGGCTGGGCTGCCCGGCTCGGAGTCATGCCCTGCCCGGGGACCGCCGGGGACGCCCCCCGACAACCCTTTGGGCCAACGCGTTAGTCGGTGTGTCAAAAAAAAAAAAAAAAATAGAAAGAAACCCTGAGCGCAGCTTCTGAGGTTCCCCCTAGTGTAAACGCAAGGCCTGCTCCTCGGGCCAGTCGTGTCCCCCGTCCACGGCTATCGCTATCCCTATCGCGCAGCCGTATTTGGCGCACTGACTGACGAAAAAGAAGGAGCCGGGGCGCAAATTTTGTTTCAAGCAACTGCTCTTCTTCTTTCTGGGCTTGTTTTGATCTCTTTACCTGGCTCGCCCCCGCGTTGATGTCTCTGTCTGTCTGTCTGCCGCTTGGCCACTCTGCCTCTCTCTCTCTCTCTCTCTCTCTCTCTCTCTCTCTCTCCCTCCCCCCCTCTCTCTCTCGCTTGGTGTAGTGTAGTGCTTGACGCTGCTTTGTCTGTTGCCCAGACGGCCCCACGGCCAACGCCATCCGCAAGCTGAGCGATGACTTCGCGCGCGGCACCAAGCTTTCAGGTAAGTGCACTTGCAGTGCAGGCCCTCGCGGCCCACGCACTTTTCGGCCGGCCTGGCTTTTCGAGTTCCATTTTAGTGCATTCTTTTCCTCGCAGCGATTAAAATAAAAACTATATGGAATTCCGACTGTTTGATTGCATTTTGGTCATCTTCTGTTTATCTACGCTTGGGCCTCTGAAGAATGTGACCACAGAGCGAGCCACAGAGAGTGTCTTAGTTCTTGACAGCAAAAATGTTTTTCAAAAAAGTGACGAATTTTCGAAAAGAAAAATTGGTTATGGTTTTGTCAGTGTGTGTTGTTGTTTGGGTTGGGTTGGCGCGCGGGCCGAGATGTGCTTAACGCGGAGCCGCGCTGCCGCTCCACATGAACTGGGCGGCGTGGGCGGAGCGTGGCGGAGCGTGGCGAGCCGCGCGTCGGATGGGATGCCTACCTGCCGGGGCCGCTTGCGTCGCCACGCGTCGCCACCTCCTGCAGACTGATTCCGAGAGTCGTTTTCGTCGCTCTGTCTCTGTCGTACTCCTCCTCGACTTGCACTGTGTCGCACCCGGGTCGGGCTGTCATGCGTTGTCTTGCACTGGGTTGATGTGGGGGAGTAGACAATGGCACCTTCCTGTTTCTGTTTTGTGTGTAGTGGTTCGCACGTTGCACTAAGCATGTTGTGTGTTTGTGTGTGTGTTGGTGCTTGTAGACCTAGACGACCCGGTGGCCGATGCCTACGCCGCCCTGTCCGGCCGGCGGCGCAGTTCCGACAGACGATCCTCCAGTGAGTACGCCGAGTGTTACAGTGTACAGCCTCGCGAAGAGGCTGCGGTTTCTTGCAGCGATCCGCCCTGTTGGAAAAGTACGGTCGAATCGACCGGTGTTCTTAGTTTGTGGCCAATTGTCTCGAAATTCGCACTCGTGCTCATTCGATCAATTAAAAAAAATAAACTAAGATGTCTTGATTGCTTGATTGTACTTCTCGAACAGCGTGAGTTGCCGTGAAGAAGAAACTGGGCAAAATTATTTTTTTGACAATTTTTGTGTGTTTTGTCACGCCTTTGCTGCTCTTGGTTTGTTGTGTGGCTTTGAGTTTCTGTTTCACGCTCATTGCACCGGTTATTTCCTTTTGCGTTCGTAGCAATGTAGTGGCGCCCCCACCCCTTGGCCACAACCAACCCAAAAAAAAAAGAGTTATGTAGCTTGTTTACTTTTATTAAGTATAACAATTGTACTCTAAAGAAAGCAGTTTTTTAATAGATTAGATAAACTATTTTAAAATTTTGAAAGACAAAAAAAACGCTGGTTTTTTAAAAATAAAACTAGAGAAATAATCTTGAAATGTTGAGTGAAAAAATTATCTTGAATCTAAAACGTCTAAAACAATAGAGTAAAAATTTGGAATGATCCTCTCGTGTTTGCGAATGGGCGTGGCGGGGGGAAAGAGGGGGGGGGGAGTGCATGGTGTGGTGCAGCCGATGGCTAGCGCGCTTGGAGCGGAGGCCTTGATAGCTTGCACTGTCTGCACACCAGGTGGCACCGAGAGCGCATGGGACTTCCGTCGCCTCAGCGAGGCCGGGGTGCGTCGAGCCTCAGGTACAGTCTAGCCCGGCTAGCCGCGCGCCGCGGTCCGTCCTAGACACTGCGGCCAGCACACTGCAAGCACGCTGCGCTGCAGGCTAGTCTGAGAGCGGGCGGCCGCGGCGCGGGTTGTGTGTGTAGCGCCTCGCTATGTGCAGCGCGCCTTCTGGTATGTCGTGTGTGTGCGTGCATGCGTAAGTGTGTGTGTGGGTGTGTCGGTGGTGGAAGCACGCCGAGCATGCTGGATTGTGACTTGCGCTTGTGTGTTTGTGAGTGCGTGCATGTGTTTTTTGGACGTGTTGGGAAGCGTTGTGAATAACTGGGTCCGTGTTGTGGTGTATGGACATGCTGATGTAAAAGTGTAAGTTCTCTCTCTAAGCTCCTGTTCCTGACTTGTAACGCCCGTCAGCATTGATCCGGCCCCGACGTTAATCTTTTAACCCGTCCGTTGCGTTCCGACAGCCCTGTGTTTCAGCATGGTCTCGGTTACCTAACTGTAACACCATCGCGGCGTTACGCCAAACCCTTTAACGGAATGTGCGACTAACACGGCGGCTGGCCCGAGGGCTGGCCGCAGACTTGGGCGCTGACTCCGCGTTCCGTGTTGCAGACGCGAGCGCGGTGCTGACGGAGGACACGGACAGCTTCATCATCGGCGAGCGTGTGTGGGTGGGCGGCAGCAAGCCGGGGCGCCTGGCGTACATCGGGGACACGCAGTTCGCGCCCGGGGAGTGGGCCGGCGTGGTGCTGGACGACGCCATCGGCAAGAACGATGGCTCGGTGGGCGGCGTCCGCTACTTCCAGTGCGAGCCCAAGAAGGGCGTCTTCTCGCGACTCACCCGGCTGACGCGCTACCCGCTGCCCGAGTCGGCACTCGCCGCCCTGTCGTCCTCCGTGCTCACGTCCCCGACGACGCCCGTGGCGCGCAAGACCGCCCCCAGCCTGGCCGCCACCCCCAAGGCCGCCCCCAAGTCCGCCTCCCCCACCCCCACGCTGTCGCCGACGGGCAGCGTGCGCAGCCTGGCCGGCGCCGAGCTCAAGCTGGGCGAGCGCGTCATCGTCATGAGCAGCCAGACGGGCTCCAAGGCGGGCATCCTGCGCTACAAGGGCCCCACCGCCTTCGCCTCGGGCGAGTGGTGCGGCGTGGAGCTGGACGAGCCCATCGGCAAGAACGACGGCGCGGTGGCCGGCACCAGGTACGCCCTGTCCTTGGACTCGAGCCGAGCGTGTGACCCCACCAACGGACTCCTCCTGCGGAGAGCAATCCATTGGTGGGGTCACACGTTCTGTTCGAGTCCCATTTAGCGACTCTGGAGCTCAAAACGCGTTCAGAGTTTTGGCCGGCTCCACCGGTCTTCCGGCACACTGTGTACTGACGAGGCCCCGCCCGCAGGTACTTCGACTGCCAGCCCAAGTTCGGGTTGTTCGCGCCCGCCCACAAGGTGAGCCGCAGCCCCGCGCCCAAGCGGCTCTCCACGGCCAACTGCAAGGTGCACCACCGGCCCGGCCTGCACGGCAGCAGGGAGAGCCTCTCCTCCATCGTCTCGGCGCGCTCCTCCATTGGCGGCGTGAGTACGGCCGGCACGGCCGCCGCCAGGGTCAAGATGGGGGTCTCGGCCACCACCAAGGTAGGCTGGCGAACGCCGCGAGCGCCGCCAGCCAGGGTGCCACCAGTACGCACACACACCACAACTACACAGTCCCACTCCCACTTCACAGTGTCTTTTTGGAGGAAAAACCGGGAAAAACTGTGCTCCCGAAATTGGGTCACTCGTGTGAAAATTGATGTCAAGCACAACTTTGTTGCTGTGCACTAGTTCACTTACTTCTTAATCGAAATCGTCATGTCTCAATTTGTGCGTGCAAGCGCAACCGCACTGACGAAACAAAGCCCGGCGTCCGCAGAGCTCGCCGTGGAGCTCGCAGGGGCAAGGTAGACTGTCCCGCCGAACAGCCGTGTGTTGGGGTGATGCAAGGCGCTCTCCCCCGCGGCGTCCGCAGCGCAGACCAATCAAACACTTTCTCATGGCACCTCAAGCCTTGGAGTTGGTTTTCCTTTTCTTTTTTTTTCGCATGCACTGAAGTTGATTAACATTGTTGTTTTAAAACCCAAGGGGTCTAACCAGTTTGTTTTTGTTTTGGTGATCATTGCCCTCTCTCTTTTTCCCTCCCGTCTTTAACTACATATAGGACTGGCTGGGGTCATGCCCCACATCGTGCAATTGCACCATCCACCTAAATTCACTCCCCAAATACAAATTTGCCGCCTCGAGGTCCAGTCACGGTTCGTGCAACTGCACCGCCCACCTGCTCGTAAGTCCCAGTGTGTCAGCAGCAGCCGCTTGGCGCTCTCTGTGCTCCCTCGCTGAGCCCTTGTCTCAAGTTCATTTTGTGTTTCACCCCGTTGCGATTGCGTCAGCGATTTCTGTACAGCCTCGCTCTATGCAGCTGCTCTTCAGCCAATGAACGACACACCGAAAAAAAAAAGTTTGTCGATTGTTGTCTTTTACATTTTTGGCCTTTGATCGACTCTTGAGCTTTAGTGAAATCGCCCCAAGGGCGAGGACGCGCTACACGTGAGCTGTGGCATGATCACCAAAACTGACACTCTTAAAAGTCTTGCATCAAGTTCGTTGGCAAACTGGTCTTCCTCCGAAGCCCGTTAGCCGGTTTGAACGGCCATGCTTACTAGGTGGATGCCCGTCGTGTAAGCCGGCAGTTGGAACCTTAACTGCTCTTTTGGCTTCTCTCTTTCTGTATTTTTAATCTATTTTTTTAAAAAATATTGGATATTAATCATATGTTGTTTCATGCGATCTCTTTGCTGCAATGTTTAACCAACCTTCAGTTTCTTCATCCGCCATTTTGTAGATTTTTTTGATTTCTGACTTGGATCTTGAAGGAATTTTGTAGTGTAGCTTTCAATTGACACACTGACTTGATCATTTACCCCAATCCTTTCCCTTTTCACCAACCTGACACTACTCACTTTTCCATACCCTAACTGCTGCGTGGTTTCTCTGGCTGCTAATTTTTAACCTTTTAATTTAATACTCTTAGTCTAATTTGTCATTACAATGTTTTGTTGTTGTTGTTGTTGTTGTTTTTTTTCGCCGGTGATGTTATTTTTAATTTTGCCTGCTAATGTTGAACGTCATTTAAGTAGATTAATTGTTTTTGGCTGTGGCGTGTGTGTGTGTCCGAGTGCCCTAACCTTCCTGCATGTGTGTGTTTTTCAGAAAACCGCCTCTCCTGCCCTGCGATCCACCCCGACCAGTTCAACCCTTCGGTCTGGTCTCCAGGTAAATGTCCCCTCTCTGTGAAGACGTGGGTCTTCTGTACATGTGTGACTGAGTGCGTGAGTCTGTGTGTGACTGGGTCTCTGAGAATGTATGTGTTTTTTGTACAACAACGTAGTATATGCGGGTGGTAGGTGATCCCTTCTCGATGTGTAGTCTTTGATATGTGCTGTATAGGATTCCTACAACAACAACTACAACAACTACAACTACACCTATTCCTACAACTACGACATCAATTGGGAGGATTGCTATTGATGTCTGTAGCCGCGGTCCGTTCTCCCAAAGGCCTTTCCAAAGGCCTTTCCAAAGGCCTACCCAGGCCTGTAGCCCCTCATCCGGTCAGCACTCTCTCGAAAGCACTCCCGAGGCACTCCCAGGCACTCCCAGCCCACCTGCGGCACTTCCGACTGCGTCTTGCGTCCCGCCTCGAGACGCGGCACTTTGCACGTTAAGACCGCCGCCTAGGACCGATTTCAGATATGCAAATGCTCTATAGAGGCCGTGCCCATGCCGAAGATCTTTTTTCCTTTCCGTCGAGACTTTGATTCAGTTACATCAGATGTAACGCATGTGTTCAAGTGACACCTCAAAGTGACCTCCTGTAGTTTTTTTCTCTTAGGGTTGGAATTGCTCTAGTCCTTAAAACAGCAAACTAGTTTTATAACTATTTCAATCTTGAGTATAGCACCACTGTTCCTTGTTAAACAAATGTGGCTGCACTGTATGAAAGGACCACATGGCGATGCAGAGACACTTCGTTTTTGTCTCCCTTTTGACAAACTATTGAACATGTGCCAAACTGGTTGGAGGTAAGTAATGGCACCGCGGGATCTCGGCTTGCATCTTCGCCGAGCTGGACTCCGGCGAACTTTGGAAGCAGTGTTGCACGGTTCATCATGATTAATGTATAAATAAACCTCAAAAGTACCTAAGAGATTCTGTTCCCTTTTATGACATTGTTGGCTGTTGATTTTTTACTATTATTATTTATTAACATTTTTATTTATTAGTTTGTTTTTTAGTACTAACGATAGTCTGATGTTTGTTGAATTACTAAAGATAAATACGTCCATTTTTTTCAATCTAATGTTTTTGTACTGAACTAATGCTTGCTTAGCATTGTGTGATAACTATGTAAATACCCTCTTTTGTTTGAATAAAACACTACCAAAAAAGTTCCCCCAATTATTCCCTCAATACACGCTGAAGGAAAACTTACAGTTTTACACCAAACAATTCAATGCATTACTCAAGTTTTTGAAATTAAGGTTTTGATTGGGGGAAACCATATTTTCTCTCTACTTCTGACAATAGTTAATGTAGTATTTGTGCATGAAATGTGTAGAAGGTGATTTGTCGGGATCATTTGGATGTAGCGTTTGAGTAGCACATTTAATCGACTTACTGTTGTACCTAGTAGTTACAAACTAATTGAGTAGATGTGAGTAGATCCTATGTTTGTTCAAAATTAATACGTGTAGCTGGCAACAGGGAGGTGTGTGTAACTGGTGTATGTCAAAAATAAACCAAATAAAATGTCTGAATCCGTTGGAGAGGCGCGATTTTGGCGCTCGTCATTGCAAATAAGCCTATTCCGTTTACCAAGCGATTTTGCTCGCGGTGCGCCGGGCGCAACATCTGCAAGTCTAAGTGTCCTTGGGTGGACCAGGGCAAGACAATGCCCAATTACATTAGTTATGCAGTCACGGCCCATTTGCCCCGCATTGAGCCCGGAAGGGTGGGGCCTCTTTTGAAAGAGAGAGAGGAAGAATGTAGGGTAGGGGAATGTAGGGTAGCGATCGCTCTACTGGTAGCGCCACTCATCGCAGACGATTCATTGCGGAGAAAGGGCGACATGAATAACACATGAGGCCGCCGCGGGCCGTTCGAACCGCCAGGAAAAAAAGGGGGAGGGGGAAGTATTGCATCTGGAAAAAAGTCTCAAAAAATCTAGCATGAAACGCGTACTAAAAACATCCAAAAAGAATGGAACGAAAACAACAAAACACAGAATCTAATATGGGACTCTTCCTATCGCCAGTTTGTGCGATAGCCTCTGAGCCAAATCCAGGGGAAGTCCTTTTTGACGTACATCCAGTACACAGTAAACCCTTCCGTATCTGTTGTCATTTTTAATTTTTGATCCGCGCCCGGCCTGTACTGTATCCTACATCGAATCGATTTGCATAATCTGTCTCGAGCCAGTGGACGGTCATTACACGTCGAATCAATCTCGCAGTCATGCCGGCCACGCCTACTCATTGGACCGCGGGGTGCGTTAGGTTAGGGCCACGGAGGTGACGTCATTCCCTGGCACTGTGCATGGTTACCATCGGCTCGAGGGAGGAACGCGGTTTGCGCCGACACTTATGTCGACGCCGCTCTAAATGTTGGTCAGTGCGACCGTCCACATGAGATTCAGTCACACATGTCGCCTCCAGAAACAGCGAAAGTCGATTCTTTTCGTCAAGTCGATGCTGACTGATTGACTAGACGGCTGTCCGCGGCGCGCCTCCCGCCTCCACCCCCGGCCTCCCTCGCCTCGCCCACGCCCACCTCGGCGGAGCGGCCGAGCGCAGCGCGGGCACAGCCTATAGTTGGACACACTGACTCGACGTGCCAGTGCTGCCAACCGACCGCTCGAGCCCTGTCGTCTGCTGGCCGCATGTTGGCGCGCTTTTCTGCCGTTCGATGGACGGACGCAGAGCATGGCCACGTTTCCACCACAGGCGTCTGCCAAAGACCATTCGTGAGGTGGGCGAACGCCTGCCATTCTTTCAAAATTTTAAAATTAATCTCTTAGTGCTCGCACTTTACTGGTTTTCAAAATACAAGGGAACGCCCAGCTACATATTTTAGACACCTTAGGTTGAGTTGATTTTGGGTCCATTCTAAAGTGTCGTTCCGTTTCCAACTGTTTTAGGAGACGTTAAAAGAAAAGGAGGCACACATCGATCAGCTGCTGAAGGAGCGCGACTTGGAGCGAGCAGAGATCACCCGCGCGGCTAGCCAGGCCGACCACGCCGAGCAAGCCCTGGCCGTCCTCAAGAATGAGTACCAGCAGGTAAACCACCCTCAGCCAGCCGTAATCAGTAGATGGAGGAAGCGTTTCCGCACTCCAAAAAATGGGGTTTTGACTGCATTTTCCGGGTGTTGCAGTACCGCGCCGAGTCCGAGGAACGCAGGCAGCGGCTGGAGACGGAGGCCGGCGACCTGCGGCAGCAGCTGGAGGACCTGCAGTTCCGCGTCGAGGAGGAGGCCATCGCCCGGGCCGAGGCCGCCGACGCCAAGCCCGAGGACGCCTCCGTCAGCCCCGAGAAGGTCGCCGAGCTGGAGAAGCAGCTCGCCGAGGAGCGCGAGCAGGCGGAGGACAAGCTGTTCGAGGCCGAGGAGGCCCTGACGAGACTGAAGGATGAGCTGGAGAAGAACAAGTGAGTGCGTCGTTAAGTTTGACTGTTTTTCGAGGGTAACCGAAAACTGACTGTTCCCTTGCGTTGCCGCAGGACTGAGGCCAAGGAGGCCCACGACCAGCTGGTGGCGCGCGACGCGGTGCAGCAGGGCCAGCTCATGGAGCTCCGCGAGCAGCTCAAGGTGCTGTCCGCCGAGCAGGGCGGCCAGGTGCAGGACCTCATGGCCAAGCTGCAGGCCAAGGAGGAGTCGTCGCAGGAGCAGGCCAAGCACATCGCCGACCTGGAGGCCGCGGTGGTGGACCTCAGGGCGCAGGTGGCCGTCAAGGACACGGCCGCGGCCGAGGCGCAGGCGCAGGTCGCCGCCACGGAGACGGCCTCCAACGCCGTCAAGGCGCAGGTCGCCGCGCTGCAGGCCGAGCTGGCCGAGCAGAAGAAGGCCGCCGCCGAGCTGGCGGACCAGGTCGCCGCCAAGGCCGCGGCCGCGGAACAGCTCGCCGGCCAGGTCGCCGCCAAGGAGGGCTCGGCCGCGGAGCTCGCGGCTCGACTCGAGGCCCTGGACGGCGAGCTGGCCAAGCAGAGGGCGGCGGCGGAGCAGGGCGCCGCCTCGCTGGCGGACAGGGACGCCGAGGTGGCGCGCCTCAACGCGCTCATCGAGCAGCTCAACTCGACGCAGGGCGAGCAGGCCGCCGGCATGACCAAGGCCCTGCAGCAGCGCGGCGAGGAGGTGGCCGCGCTCGAGGCCAAGCTGCGGCAGGCGGAGACCGCCAGGGAGCAGGAAGCCGCCGCCGCGGCGGAGGCAGCCAAGGCCCTGCAGCAGGCCAAGAGCGAGGCGGTGGCCGCGCTGGAGGCCAAGCTGCAGCAGCTTACTGAGGCAAGCGCCAAGGATGCTGCCACCGCTGCCGAGAAGCTCCTGAGCCTGGAGCAAGTCAAGACGGAGGCGGTGGCCGCGCTGGAGCAGAAGCTGCAGGTTCAGACCGAGGCCAGCGCCAAGGAGGCAGCCGCCCTGGCCGACAAGCTGCAAGCCCTGGAGCGCGCGCGCGCCGAGGAGGTGGCCGCTCTCAACGACCGCCTGCAGGTCGCCGAGTGCGCCAAGACGGAGGGGGTGTCCGCGGTGGAGGCCAAGATGCAGCAGATGCTCGAGGACAAGGACAAGGCTAGGGCCGCGGACGTCGCCGCCCTCGAGGCCAAGATGAAGCAGCTGGGCGAGGACAAGGACAAGGCCAGGGCCGAGGAAGTCGCCGCCCTCGAGGCCAAGATGCAGCAGCTGTCTGACACCAAGGACAAGGCCAGGGCCGACGACGTGGCCGCGCTAGAGGCACAGCTGCAGAAGGTGTCCGAGGCCAAGGCCGAGGAAACGTCCGCGCTCGAGGCCAAGCTTCAGAAAGAGTCGTCTGCCAGGGCCGAAGAGGTGGCGGCGCTGGAAAGCAAACTCCAGCAACTGTCGGTCTCCAAAGACGAAGCGGTGGCCGCGCTGGAGAGCAAGCTGCAGCAGCTCGAGGCCGCCAAGCAGGGCGACGTGTCCGCCGTGGAGGCCAAGCTGCAGCAACTGTCCACCGCCAAGGGCGAGGAGGTGGCCGCCCTCTCGGAGCAGCTGCACGCGCTGGAGCGCGCCAAGGCGGACGCCGACAAGGAGGCCGCGCGGCTGGCGGCGCTCTTGGAGGAGGCCAAGGCCCAGGCCGAGGAGAGGGTCGCCGCCCGCGACGCCAAGATCGCCGACCTGGAGACCAAGGGCCGCGAGGCGAGCGCGCCAAAGCGCAGCTGGAGGAGGAGGCCGCCAAGAAGGTGGCCGAGGTCGGCCGGCTGCAAGAAGACCTCGCAGCGGAGCGAAGCAAGTCGGAGGGTGAGTCTTTGTCAGTTTTACCGTGTGGACTTAAGGTGGTTATCATCGTTGACGGTTGTCTTTCTACCAGGTCTTCAGGGCCGCGTGTCCGAACTGGAACTCCAGCACGGCGATGTGGAACGGGCGCTGGCCGCCTCACAGGAGAAGTGCGCGCAACTGTCGCAGGCTAAGGCCAAGCTGGTACGTTCGTCGTTTACCATTTAATCGAGAAGTATTTTATCTAGCCGATTTCAGTCCGTAATTTTGCTCTTTGCCGGTGATCTAGGAGGAGGACTTGGTGGCCAGTTCCAGCGACTCGTCCAGCCAGCTGAGTGGGCTCATGGACTCGCTCCGCGCCAAGGAGGCCGAGCTGGAGGCCGAGCGCGCGGCGGGGGAGAGCCGCCTGCAGGAGGCGCGGAAGGAGGCGCAGGCGGCGCGACTCAACGGGGAGCGCCTGGAAGAGGCACTGCGTCAGCACGAGCAGGAACGGGAACACGAACGGGCCGACGCCGTCGCCGCCGCGCAGGCCGCCCAGGCCAACGCGGACAAGGCCGAGGAGAAGATAGCCGGCCTGGAGAAGCAGCGCCGCGACGCCGAGGCGGCCGCCGAACAGTTGCAACAGAAGCTGCAGGACGCGGAGCGCGAAGCGGCCGCCCGACAGGACCAGGTCGCCTCGCTGGCCGCCCAGGTGGAGGACGCACAGCGCCTCCTCAAGGAGGCCAAGACCGCCGCCGAGCACGCCGAGCAGAAGCTGCAGAAGGACGTCGCCGACGTGCAGGCGCGCCTCGACAAGGCGGTCGAGACCGCGGCCAAAGACGGCGCCAGGGCCGAGGCCGCGGTGGCCGAGAGGGACGCCGCCCTGGCCGAACTGAGGGACAGCCTGGCCGCCCAGGAGGTGCAGGCCAGCGAGCTGAAGGCGCGCGTCGAGACGCTGTCGTCGCAGCTGCAGCAGAGCCAAGCGCTGCTCAAGGAGGACCAGGCCGCGCGGGAGTCGCAGGTGCAGGAACTCACGAAGCAGCTCCAGGACAGCGAGGCCGCGCTCAAGGAGGCCCACGCTGCCCGAGAGTCCCAGGTGCAGAAGCTCGACGCTCACGTGCAGTCCCTGGAAGCCAAACTCCAAGACGCCCTCGTCTCGCACGAGTCGGAGGTGCAGGGCCTCAGGGCCCAGCTGCAGCAGGCCGAAGCTTCGCTCAAAGAGAGCCGAGCCAGTCAAGGCTCGCAAGTGCAGGCCCTCACTTCGCAAGTGGAGGCGTTGTCGTCCCAGGTTGAAGGCGCCAACGCGCAGCTGCAGGAGAGCAGAGCCAGCCTGGACAGCCAGGCGAGTGAACTGCGCGCGCTGGCGGACACTCTCCGCGCCAAGGAGGCCGAGTTGGAGTCGGAGCGCGCTGCAAGCGAAGCCCGCCTACAAGAAGCCCTCAAGGAGGCTCAGAAGACTCAACAGAACGCGGACCGTCTGCAGCAGGCACTCAGTCAGCTCGAGCAGGAGCGCGAGAAGGAACAGGGCGACGCGCGCGCTGCCGCCCAGGCCAACGCGGACAAGGCCGAGGAGAAGATAGCCGGCCTGGAGAAGCAGCGCCGCGACGCCGAGGTGGCCGCCGAACAGTTGCAACAGAAGCTGCAGGACGCGGAGCGCGAAGCGGCCGCCCGACAGGACCAGGTCGCCTCGCTGGCCGCCCAGGTGGAGGACGCACAGCGCCTCCTCAAGGAGGCCAAGACCGCCGCCGAGCACGCCGAGCAGAAGCTGCAGAAGGACGTCGCCGACGTGCAGGCGCGCCTCGACAAGGCGGTCGAGACCGCGGCCAAGGACGGCGCCACGGCGGAGGCCGCGGTGGCCGAGAGGGACGCTGCCCTGGCCGAGCTGAGGGACAGCCTGGCCGCCCAGGAGGTGCAGGCCAGCGAGCTGAAGGCGCGCGTCGAGACGCTGTCGTCGCAGCTGCAGCAGAGCCAAGCGCTGCTCAAGGAGGACCAGGCCGCGCGGGAGTCGCAGGTGCAGGAACTCACGAAGCAGCTCCAGGACAGCGAGGCCGCGCTCAAGGAGAGCCGTGCCAGCCAGGGCTCGCAGGTGCAGTCCCTCGCCTCGCAGGTGGAGTCGCTGTCGTCCCAGGTGCAGAGCCTGACATCGCAGCTGCAGCAGAGCGAGGCCGCGCTCCAAGACAGCCGCGCCAGCCGGGACAGCCAGGACGGCCAGGCCAAGGAGCTGCGCGCGCAGGTGGACGCGCTCACCGCGAGTCTGCAGGCGGGCGCCGCGGAGCAGGCCAAGCTGGTCCAGCTGCACCAGAAGCTGGAGGCGGAGCACGCGCAGGCCCAACTCAACGCACAGTCCCTCTCCCAGCAGCTCAACGGCGTCCTCAAGCAGCTGGCGGACGCGCAGGCCGAAGCGTGAGTGTCAATCCAGTCGTCTACGGAAGGGCTTTAAAATGCTAAGGAGAATTTTCGAACTAAGTTAACTCTTTTTTTAATTTTTCAGAGACACCGAGCGAATGCGTTCTGAGGATTTGTTGGCCCTGCTAGCCTCTGCCAATGATGCCAAGGAGGACGCTCAGCAAGTGTATGAAAAAAAATATTTTAATTTGGTGTTTTGTTTGGAGCTGGTGCAGTCTTTTCATTAGTGTTGCTTTGTTTTTGTTTTTACACAGGTTGGAGTCCCAGTTAAGACAACGTGAAGAAGAGCTCAAAGCCACAAAGCAGGAAGTATGTTGAGGATTTTTTTTTTCGGAATTAATAAGGCAATCAAATGCCATTTTTTAAATTATTTTTTTCTGTTTTGTTCTTTACCTACAGTCTCAAATTCTTTTGAAGACCATAAACAAGGAGAAAGAATGTTTGGAAGAAAGATTATCTGTCATGAAATCGTCTGTTTTGCAATCAGAAACCAATGCTAACAGTGCAGGTAAAGTGCTACACTGATTTATTCCAAATTTTTTTTTTCTTTGGAATTCAACTTTACTCTATTTATGACACTGTTCTTGCAGACCCTGCTCACCAGCGCCTCTTGGAAGAAAGAGAAGCTGCTCAAGGACAGGTTGACTTCCTTAATTCAATTATTGTTGACATGCAGCGCAAAAACGATGAATTGAAAGCTCGTGTTGAACTATTAGAAACTGGTATCTCAACAGCAGATGTCGATGAGCTAGAACTGTAAGAACCCCTCATAATTTATTTTTGCTTTTACAGAGTGTGTATCAGAGAAAAGTATCTTTTAAATTTATTTTGATTTCAATTCTTTTGCAGTAATAACATAAAGCCTAGAATGGTGGCACCTCGTCTTTTCTGTGACATATGTGATGAATTTGATCTTCATGACACAGAGGATTGTCCAACACAATGCAACGATGTTGCGCCCACAGCAGGTGCTCGTAAGCTGCCAGGCAGTAATGCAACTGAGCGACCCTATTGTGATAATTGTGAAGGTATGTGTTAACAATAGATTTGTATATCAACAGAGTTGTTGTATTTTTGTACTTGTAACTAATGTTTCAATTTTTTGCTAACTCTTTTTCAGTTTTTGGCCATCATACAGAAGATTGTGATGATGCTGAGACATTTTAGGTAATTTATGTTATATTATAAAATTGTATTTCGAATCTGCTGTTCCTCAGTTATCAAGTGAAGAATAACTGTCTTCCGTTATGTTTTTTTTTTAATGTGTGATTGTAACACTTGATGCTTTGATGCTGAATCATTGATATTGGCTGACTATGGTTTCCACCAACTTCCATAAGCTAGGTGTATTTGAATTGTTTGCATTTTGATGTAACATATTGTACAGTATTTATTTCTGTAATATATCTAGCAAGTGGCTGTCAGTCAGTAAAACGTCCGCTCTTCAGAAATTCTTGTCTTATTTACTGTATTTCTGAAGATAATTATTCTTTTGTGATCTGTTTATTAACTTAGGCAGTTAATCTGTGATTTGAACTCTTATACATGCTTTGGGATTTATGGATTGTTGATGAATGCATTTTGTTCATGTTTTGAATGTTTTAAACAAGTTGTTGCTTTCCTTGGCTCTACTTCATCTATAAAGAGACCAGCTGTCTGGTAACAAAGTTACTCAATGTAAACTCTAAATGCATTTTTATTGTGCTCCATTTGCTTACTTAATGTTATTCTGTAATTGATACTTTTACAGAAAATATTCAGCTATGTTGCTGTCTGTAATTATTTGTGTAGGTTTTAATAGTTATGTGTAGCATTATACATATTTATACATATTCAAATGTGATAAATTAGACTCAGTGAGGTGGATCAATTTTGCCATTAGTCAGATCCTCGAGTACGTAGCAAATGAACTGTAGGAGGAAACGTTGATGTATTGCAGTGACTGATCAAAACTGTGCCCAAATTTAGGAAAAATTCAATGAAAGATTGTTTGGAGACAGTTTTCAACATTTTCATAACTCCTTTGTTTTCTAATGCTGTAGGACTCTGTCAAATTAAATTTAAGGGTACATCTGCAGTCCAATTTTGCAAAAGCATAAATAAAAGTATTTTTGAAAGAGGTGTTTTTAAATCATCAAAACCTAATCCTTACACAAACATCACAAATTCTATGAACAGGAGCTGTAAGGACTAAAATTAGTGCAGTGTGGTAGCTTCCTAACTGGACGCTCCACAGTGCTTTCCACACTCCGGGCCGGCCAGCTGATTGGCTGGCCGTGTGACTCGGCGCCGGAAGGGTGCTGGCTGGTGGGGTGGGGGTGCACTAGGTGGCACCTTGCTGCAAACTGCCCCGATAGGTGGACAGTAGGCAGTTGACATCGGACTGCCGGACCGCGCGCGCGCCAACATGAAGCAAGGGCTGCTCGCGGTGCTGCTGGCCGGGCTGGGCCTGGCGTGCTTCGCGCCCCAGGGGCTCGCCGTGGACGTGCACCTCGCCAACGCGGTGCCAGGTGAGTCCTGAGGCTTCCTGCTAGCCTGTGCACGGAGGAGAGGGACTTACAACGCGAGGGTTGGGGAAAAAAACCAATTAATGGTCTTTAAAAAAAAAACTATCAAGGGATGGGTTTTTTAAGGGTTGAACAGAGTGGATCCCATCCCAGAGCCATGTTTTTGCGGCTCTTTTGTTTTGCTGTGTGGAGCCTCTACAGGTGTGGAATGGCTGGGGTGAGAGGGCCGCGAGGCCGGCTGGCGTGGCGCGGCGGGCCAGTGAGGGGTGCATTCACCCAGCCTCGGCCCCTGCCCGGCGCGCCGTCGGGCCGGCAGCCGGCGTGAAGGGCCGCGGCCGCGCCACCAGCCGTGACCCATATCCAGGTGTCACAACGCGATCGGCTCTCCGTAATTTCGTTTTCTGCTGCCCGGTGCACCGCCACACCTCCAGCCGCAGCCAACGCGGAGAAAGCCGAGGGGGAGTGCCACAGTGTACCAGAGCCGCGGTTCGGTCGCGGCCGTAGCTCGCGATGTCCCTCTCATGAAGGGACGAGAAACTCTTGGGCCATGCGGTGGCCGACAGTCAATCAAAGGTGTTTTTCCCGCATCGTGGCGCCGTGTCTGCAGACGACTTCCCCGCGCTGAACGACGCGCTCCTGCTCGCCTCGCTGCAGGAGGACGACGCGGACCTGGACGAGCGGCGCGTCTGGCTGGACGGCGAGGAGTCCGACCGACGCGCGCGTCCGCGGCCCCGCGCCTCCAGGCCCGCCTCCTGCCACCGGCCCTGCGGCCAGGACGGCGACGACGAGCCGATGATCTGCTACTTCCGGTGGCGGGTGGAGGCCTACGTCACCATGGGCAGGTAGTGCCAGAACGCCGCCACTTCTCACTCACTCTCTCTTGGCCTCTCACCTTCCGGCGCCTCCCTGCAGGGCGTGTGGCGGCTGCCCGCGCAACGTGACGGACTGCACCTTGCCGCAGTGCGTGACCGCGGACGGCTACGAGAAGGGCGTGCTCACCGTCAACAGGAAGATCCCCGGGCCGTCCATTCACGTAACTACCCTTTGTTGTTTTTGTCTGTTTCTCATTTGTGTTGTTGGCGAGTGCTGGGGGCTGCCCACCCACCCCGCGCAGAGGATTTGCCAGAAGACCGGTGGCGGCGGTCAAAACTCTCGACGCGTTTCGAACTCTAGAGCCGCTGAACAGGACTGGAACCTAGCGTGTGACCAATGGCTTTCTCATTCGGTTCGAGTCCCATTTAGTGACGCTGGAGCTCAAAACGCGTGTGTCCGCCGCCACCGGTCTTCTGGCAAATCCACTGTACCCTGCACCCCATGCCGTGCGTGCCATGCCGCAGGTGTGCCGCGGCGACATCGTGGTGGTGGACGTGAAGAACATGATGCCGGGCCGCTCCACCACCATCCACTGGCACGGCATGCGGCAGCGCGCCTCGCCGCACATGGACGGCGTGCCCATGCTCACGCAGTGCCCCATCCCCGAGAACGGCATCTTCCGCTACCGCTTCCGCGCCGAGGAGGTCGGCACGCACTTCTGGCACTCGCACGACGGTGAGGCGAATCCGGGTCCAACCTTGACTCTGTCTGTTCGTCTGCCCTCACGCCCGTTGTCGTTGTTGGTCCCGGCAGGCATGCAGAAGATGGACGGCATCGTGGGCGCCATGGTGGTGCGCGGGCCCCGCGACGAGGAGCCGTACGGCCACCTCTACGACTACGACCTGCGCTCGCACACCATCCTGGTCACGGACTGGTTCCACACGGACGCGGACCAGCGCTTCCCGGGGCTGCAGCGACGCGAGAGCGGCCAGCTACCCGACTCGTACCTCATCAACGGCCGCGGCAGCTACAGGGTGAGGGGAGGAGCCTCGGTTAGTTGACGATGACGGCGACGGGGGAGCCTCAGTGGGGGATTCGAACCGGGGAAAGTCCGCGCCAGCTTCTGGCTCGGGTGTCTTTTCTCACCCCGTTCGGACTCTCCCTGACGGCTGCCGGTTCCTTGGAGGCTAAAGTTCGCGGGGCGCCTGCCTGCAGCGCGCCCGCACCGACGCCCGGCTGTTCTTCCAGCTGACGGTGGACTCGGAGGCGCCCTACGCCGTGTTCCGGGTGTCCCGGGGCCGCCGCTACCGCCTGCGCCTCATCGGCGGCACGTGCGCGTCGTGCGCCTACTCCATCACCGTGGAGGGCCACCGCCTCAAGCTCATCGCCGTGGACGTGACGCCCGTGCGCGCCGTCGAGGTGGACACCCTCACCATGTCACCCGGAGAACGGTGCGCGCTCGAGGCCACTTCGGTTCACCCATCCTCACTCCGAACTTCCTCACAGCGGCGTCCTCTGCCCGCAGGTACGACGTGATCCTGGACGCGGACCAGCCCGTGGCGGCCTACTGGATCCACGTGCGGGGCCTGGGGGCGTGCGCCCTGCTCGGCGCGCACCAGGTCGCCGTGCTGCGCTACTCGGAGGCGGGCGCGTCGCTGCCGACCTCGCGCCACCCGGGCCGAATCGGCCTCCCCCTCGGCGTCGTGCGTACCATTCCAACCAACTTTCGGAGGAAGCTTTATAGCAGATGATTTTTTGGAGACTTCATGTTTGGTTTCTGTACCCGTAGGTGGTGGGCCCTGAGAACTCCATCTGCGCGACGGATAACCCTTCCGAAGTGTGCGTGCACCACCTCGAGTCGCTGCGGCCCGCGCCGCCCGCCGTCCTGGACCGCGACGTCAGCGTCCGCCTGCCGATGGAGTTCAGCTTCCGGTTTTACAGTGACGAGGAGCTCTTCCGCTCCGACACCTTCCACCGCTTTTTCAGTGAGTACTGCCGCGCTGCTCTGCTACGTACGCCATCCTGAATACAGTCCCGTTACGCATGCGTGTAGTGCGGGCGGCCTAGCCCCGACTTCGCAGGCGCCATGTCCCTGCCAGAGTCCTGCAGTGTACTAGCGTTGCCGGGGGCTGTTGGCCGTCCCCTCTCCCGTTTCGCCACGTCGCTGACAAGACTAACACGCCCCCTCTGCTCTGCTCCCCAGTCCCGCCCCTGTTCCCGCCGGCCTCGGCCAGGGTGAACAACATCAGCAACGTGCTGGGGCCGTCGCCTCTGCTGTCCCAGCTGGACAGCGTCCCGGAGCACCTGTTCTGCTCGCGGCAGATGCTGGCCTCGTGCCAGCCGCGCGGCACCTGCGAGTGCCTGCATCTCGTCAAGATCCCCCTCGGCGAGGTGGTCGAGTTCGTCATCGCGGACGCCGGTAAGGAAGACTCTCTCGCTCTCTCCGCTACCCCACGCTTCCACACCAAAGCGACGTCGTCTCTGTCCTCCGCGCAGGCCGCATCCGCAACGGACTCTCGCACCCGTTCCACGTGCACGGCAACTACTTCCGCATCCTGGCCCTGGGGCTGTTCGCGCCCGGGCAGACCGTCGCCGACGTCACCCGGCTCCTGGACGCCGGCGAGATCCCCTTCAGCCTGAGGCCCGTCGAGAAGGACACCATCGCCGTGCCGTCCGGCGGGTACGCCGTGGTCAGGATGGTCGCCGACAACCCAGGTAGGTGTCGCGGCCGAGAGCGGAATCGAGGCACCGGGGCCATCCCAAGCAACTTTGACGTTATGTTTATGTTTCTGCTGCAGGGTACTGGATGTTCCACTGCCACTTCCTGTACCACTTGGTCGCGGGCATGAGCGTGGTCCTGCAGGTGGGCGAACCAGACGACATGGTTCCGACTCCGAGGGGCTTTACGACGTGTGGGGACTTCTTCTAGCTGTCGTGTCTTTTCGGTGCTATTTCTTTATGCTAGTCGCTTTTCTTGTCTTGTAATACCATTTCAATGTATTTATTAATTTCAAAAATAAATTATTGACTTTTTTAAAACTTTAGTTGAATCCGTCATTTGTCAAGGTGCACCGCAGTGAGTTTGTATATATAGTAGGGTGTGTACTCGGAGGCAAAACCGACATTCTGAAGAGGATTCGGGTGGAAAAAATAATGTGAGCCCATTTGAAATAAGTGAGTTTTGTTTCATTTTATTTAAATAATCAGAATCACAAAAATGTACAAATAGGTAAGTACTAATTCCACTGGTACCACTATTAATAAAAAATGCAAGTAATTCCAGGCTTTTCAAAAATAAAAGACGCTATCTTGCTACAAATCATCGCATAATACTGATTACTTCACACAAATTTAGTATGGTCACCACAAAAAATAAGCAACAAGTAACAACAGACAACACTTTACTTGGAACTTAAACTTGTAAGTAGTAGGAGGGTACTCCAGTAAAATGAACTGCAATATTTTCATAAAATATTTTTGAACAAAGTCCTTAGAATTTTACAAGTTATGAGAAGTCAATCAGTTACAAATACTGACATTGGTGTGTACTTTTGCAATACACAACTAAACACAAATAATACCTTAACAAGATACATACAGAGCTATGTTACTTAATTATAACAAAGTGTCACACTAATCTAAGAAGTTTTAGCACATACTTAACTCAACCAAACTGAGTTTAAAATGTGCATATGGTTTTGCACAGGACTAAGAAATTGATTTGTCCAAAGCAAACCCACACACATGCAGTTTCTAAAACAGAAATGTGGGTTCACTCTGGACATGTCAAAATTCAGAAGTACGGTATTTTTAAGAAACTAAAACAATAACAAACACAATTTTAAAATGGCAAGAAGGAATTCAAGGCATCACAGATCCATACCATTAAACTAGAATTTAACACATTCTTAACTAATTCCTTTCAGTGTCAATAAAAGAGGTAGTTAAAATAGAGGGCTTTCTCTTAAACTATTGTCATTATGTCAGTGCAATCACAGTTGATCAAGTGAGCATAAAATTTTACTAGAGAGAAGCACTGTCATATAATCAGTCCCTAAAATTAGAAATTAGTCAGTTCATAGAGGCCTCTTCAGGCTCAGGAGCTTCAGCTGGGTTGGTTTCAAAATTGTCTCTCGCTCTACGTAAAATATGATGAGTTTTGTGTAATTGCTTGCAAATGGCTTTTTCGACAAGTCTCTTTCGCTGGTTTGCTGCAGCCAACTGAGCATATGTTTGCTCTAGAGTCTGGCGGGTATGCAGAAGGCGTTGTTTAAGCTCTTGATTTTCTTGCTCCAATCCCTTGTAGTCCATTTGCTGTTTTTCTGAATTAGAAAAGGAAGGGCATTCAATTAGCTCCTCACTTGCTTTTCAGGAATAAAAAAATAAAAAAAAGAAAAAACTTATGATATTCACTTACTTCTAACTTGCAAGGCGACAGCTAAATTATCTGGGGAGCTCAAAGCAGGAGCCGTTGTTGACTTTTTCAGAGGAAATGGCTCTAAACTAGAAAATCGTCCTTGGTCACTTTCAATGCCAAGATCAGGAGATGCTGAGGTGACACGGCCCGGTCCATTTCCAACTGAGACTGTGTTGCCATGAGCTGTGAGCACAACAGCTGGTGGGCAATGTGCCATCTCTCCATCATACCATCCATGGCGACCGCTTTCCTGCAACTAAAACAATATGGTAAGAACAAGCAAAACAAAAACCACAACTTTTTAAAATGTAACATGCAGGTTGCGTTCATACTGGATAAACATGTTCCTCTTGCTCTGACACATAGTCTGACAAGTCAGCATTGCAGTGCTTCAAGTTAGTAATTTCTGTCAGGACTTTTCCTTCAGAAGTAGCTGATCCACTACCGCTGCTGCCCCCTTTCCGTCTTTGATATTGATTGGAATGCACTTCTCTTTCAAGATCCCGAACGTGTTTCTGCAGCTCACCATTGGCTTGCGTTAGAGACAATATCTGAAAACATACACGTCATTAATATGGATAAACACTTATTTGAACATGCTCAGAATTTCTTTTTCCTTATGATTATAGAATTTACTTTTTGACCAAGTTGGTCTTGAAGCTGTTTTCGGTCTCGCTTAGCTTCTGATTGGAGCCATCTAATCTGCTGTTCTAATTGGAGCTTTTCATTGGCAAGTCTGGCTGTTTCCAATTGAGCTTGAGATGTAGCTACGGCTGCATCATTCAACTGTTGCTGTATTTCACCTCCTCCTTTCGAATGTCGTTCTGCTTCCGATATTCTTTCAATAAGTTCTTTCTCCTTAATCTGAAAAAGGAAGGTATGAGAGTATTTCAAATTTAAATCAGGTACAAGCACCGCGAACCACAAACTTCAAGCCTTACCTTGTACTTATCTTCTACTTCAAGAACTCGTTTTTCAGCATCAATATTAGCGTCAGCAGCTTTTCTTTCCAGCTCACTGATCCGTGAAATGAAGGCAGTCTCAACATCTCGAACCCGCTTGACAGCAGCCGCCCGAGAATCTGCATCATACTCTTTCATGCGCTGCTCAACAATTTTCTCCAATTTCCTGGATGCCTTTATTTCTGCCTCACGTTTTAGCTTCTCTTGGAGTTCTTCAGAGCGGCGTTCTATTTCTGCATGCTTCAGTTTTAGCTGTTCTTCTAACAAATGTACTTTGTCTTTGGCTCGTCGGTCAATTTCGAGTGATTTAGCTTCTAGGTCCTTGTACTTGGAAATCCATTCCTCAGTTTTCTGCTCGGCCACATTCTTTAACTGTTCCAACACAACCAACTTTTCTTTAAATTTGTGAGCTAGCTGAGAATGAGTTTCTTTAATTTCAATTTCACACTTCTGGACAACTCTTTTCCATTTTTCCAACTCTCTGTCCAACTCCTGTGCTCTTTCTTTCCAGAGTTTGGCCTCTTTTTCAAGTTCATACTTCTTACTTAGCAGCTGTTTCACAGTGACTTGCAGAGAGGCTGCCTCTTGTCTGGCTTGCTCTGACTCTTTCTGCGCAGCTGCTAGCTTGCAGCTAAGATCTTTCTCAAGACGATCTTTCTCTTGTATTGCTTGCTGAGCATCCAGTTCAGCTTGTTCTCGTCGTACTTCCACTTCCAGCACCTAGGAAAAGACCATATGCGTGAGGGTTGATACTAACACTAATCTAGCATAAAACAAGGCATTCATCAGGAAGACAACAAAATAATTACCTGAACACTCAATTCTTGTACCTTTTCTTCCAGGCCACGCATGGTGTGAGCAGTTATACTTTCGCGGTCCACAGCATTTTGGGAATTTTCTACTAATTCGAGCTTCATATTTAAGAGTTGGGATTGCCTCTCCTTCTGCAGATTGTCTTGTAATATTACTTTTTCAGAAAGGGCACTGTTGGCCCTCGATAGTACCTAAACAAGAAATCACACTAAATTAGTCAAAATCAGTATAATATTATGCACTAGATTGGCATCAGAGGATCTTCAACTAAAGAGTTGTGAATAAGATAAAATTTGTTAAGAGATTTGGTTGCTTATCAGTTTGAAGAGATCACACCTGCAACTGATGTAATCTGCTTGCAGCACACTTTTGCCATGCCTTCCGTGCATTTTTTTCCCAATCCAGCCGTTCCCATAATTTAATTGGCCCTACAGCACTCTGAAACAGTTAAAAGAAAGATGCATGCCTACCACCTTTGTTGAAGTTAACAGTATGTTACTCATGCAAAGTGAGTAAGAATTTTAAATTCGTAAAATCCAATTCTAAACAATAGAGACGCAAAGAAATACTATTTCTTAAGAAACATAGGAGTGCTTAAGCAAATTTCTGGCCTAGACTGGCTTATTGTATAAAGAGAAACAAACAGAAACAAGCTGAACTGAGAAACAAGCACACTACATCCACATGAGGAGAAAGAAAGACGAAGAGAGAAAAAATGCCAGAAAGCCATACCTTCCACACTACAAGAGTTACAGACTTAGGAGGGGCATCCACAATTGTATTTAAAGAGACATCATGCCTGCAAACTGAAAAAAAAATAATCTAAGGGGATAGGGTGAACAAACAAAAAGCAAAATGGGGGCAGGGAAAAAAATAAACAATCCAAAACACACTACATCATGCACAAATAGTTAGGAACGCCAAAACAAAAAGTCTACAAGCCAAATGGACAGATTTTTAAGAGCAAAAAATTTAAAGACAGGAGACACATAAACAGAAAATACTGTAACTAAGCATGCACAAGCTACTATCATGTAAAGTTACATTTAGAAAGAAATTAAACAAAAGAGGGGGAAGGGGGTTGGGCATAACTGAATACAAAATCGTCTTACCTCACAATTGGAATTTTCACCATGTGGGTTTTCAGAAAGTTTGCTGGAAGGCAGACCAATTTGAACTTCAAGGGCCTGATTCAATTTCTCCAAGCAGTGAGTACGAGCTGAAAGTTTGTTATCATCAGCATTTGCAGCCTCTTTAAGAGATGGACAGGTTTTAAGTTGTCCATTCTGCGATTCACTTGAGCTTGATTGTCCACCCAAAGATACTCGTCGAACTGTGCTTGCCACACTTGAGACTGTCCTGAAGAATTATATCACAATTAGCAAACAAAAATAAACCTACAAATTCTTAGTAAAGTTGGAAGTCTTACCGTGAACTTTCATTGTGAATACCCATCCGAGCCTGAGACACACTGCGATCAGGTTCTGACCATGCTTCAGAGTCAGACTGAGAACCAGCATTTTGATTAGCAGCAGTCCCTTTGACTTTGGAATGACTCGTACCCTGGGGATGCGACCTCGATCGTCTTCGAGTCTGAAAGTGCCAACATTTCATGAAAACGATTTCTTAATACATGACGATAGAGTATAGTGAGAGCAAAGTTAACCTACTCGGACTGAAGCACCAGATATCTGTTGGTCCTTATCAATGTTGTCTGTAGTAAGAAAGAAAGAAGAATTTTGTGAGTCTTTTTTGGCCTTCCACCTATGCTCAGAATCACAGATGGTGTAATACGCACCCCCTTTCAATCCAAGTTCCACAGGATTAAAAGAAATTTCGGCATCCTGGGAAGCAAGAAAGGAAACATAGAAACTAACTTCACAATATAGTGCAGAATCTCAGATATTGACATTTTTCATACCTCATGAGAATAAGAGCAAAGTGAAACATCGTTTTCAGGGCAAGGAGAACAGGAACCTTCAGGTACTGACTCACTGCTAAGGTTGGCAATGGTTCTACTCAGTTCCAAGCTGCCATTGATTGCAGCACGTAATACTCGCTGTCGATCTGCACACAAACCAACAACTAGTGCAGGCTGATGAAGAAGTTCGTCAAGGAATATGGCCAGCTCTTCAAGTCGTGTTCTTAGAACTGAAAGAGCCTTTGATGCTTCTCTCCGCCACATTCTGTGATGCTCCTCCGTCTCCTGAGATAAATAAAAGTAAGCCAATAAATTTATTTATTTAAATAAAAAATTCCTGTGTGCCAGAAAAATATAATTAAGAAGCACTCATACCTGTAATCTTTTGTTGTCAATTAACAATCTTTGAAGTTTCCTGCTTTCAGAATCTCTTTCAGGAGTATTTCTCAGCCGTTCCTTCAGACTGTCAACTTCTCTGCTCAAATATTTCTGTTCCTCCAAACTGATTTTAAGTTGCTCTTGAAGCTCTGACACATCGTCTGTATTGATTTCTGAAGAATTCTGAAAATTCCACAGAAAACACATGTTAGGAATATGAAGTAAACTCTCACCAAGGGGAGAGACACGATAAAATGTACAAACCGGTCCAAGAGATGTCACAGTCACTCCAAATTCAGCTAGCTTTCGTTTAGCTTCTTTCAAGTCTCCCTCTTTGCTTTCACAAACAGCTCCTTGTGCAGCAAGCCTTAATTCAAGCCGTTCAATTTGTTTGTTTTTGTCCCATAATTCCTTGTTGACTAACTCCTGCAAAATAGCCATGATGCAGTAAAATTAGCACTGTTTACCCAACTCAAGTGTTTGTGTTGCATTACTTCTTGAAATACATACTTGGAGATTAAATGTTCTCTTTTTAAGTTCCATATTAAGGTTTTCTATTTCTTTGTCTTTATCTGTCAGTTGTTTTAAGATGGACTCATGTGAGCTTATGTTGCACAAGTTTTCTTGAGCAGCATTTTCAACATTCAGTTGGGGATTCTTCCCAGTCATTTGGAAATGTTCTTTCCTTAAGGCCTGTATTTCAAGCTCAAGTTCTTGAATTCTGTTGTCCCTAGCTTCTAATCTCTGTTCACAAGCAACAAGTTGTGATTCTTTCTCCCTTAAACTTGCTTCAATGCTCTGAAGCCTGCATTCTCTGTCTTCATGAAATTCTGCATTGGGCTTGTTTACAGCATTCTTATCCTGTGGAGAATACAAGCAAAAGAAAAATTACATTTCTTGCTTGAGAATAATCTTATCACTATCATAGAATGCAGCAAAATACAACCATGTCTTTATTGGAGATTCATGCATACATTACCTTAGTTGGTATCATCAACATAGCTTCAGCGCACAGCAAAAATAGGAAGAAGCAAAGAAAAGCAAAAGCATAATTTGCAGACATGCATAGGTAGGGATAAAATAAGCAGTTTAAGTTAATGAGTATCAGGATGAGTTTTTGTGCTTTGAGTAGTGTAAATAAAAACAAGAAAGAAAAAATTAAAATTTATTTACGATAAAAGAACTTTGAAAGCATGTAGTAACACACAAAAAAATGCCAATGCGAACACCAACAAACACAAAGCAAAAAAATTACAAATGAAAAATAATAATAAAAAAAAAACGGCAGACTTTAAAAGCTTAACAACCATGCACAGGCAACTGAAATGGAGGCTCAATGTCTACTTATTTCTACCAAAGGGACTTTTATTCTTTTCTTTTGATCTTACCTCACATAGAGCAGAGAGCTTTTGAGTCAACTCACATATTTGAGCTTCTTGGGACTGTTTTTCTTTAGTTAATTTAGCAACATCAGAGAGAAGTTGATGTATCATTGATGCTTTGCGGAAAGCTGACTCTTCATGATCCTTGGACTCTTTCTCTTTCTCCAAGAGTTTATCTTGAAGATCTTGATTTGCAGCAGCTATATTCATACAATCTGTGCACCCACTAGGTCGTCTTCTCATCTCTTCATTTCTCTGTCTCTTAAGAGATTTTACCTGTTCATGAACTTAGTTAAAGTATGCCACAATAGGAAAAGGAAAGAGACAAAGGATGAAGAGAATACTTACTTCTTCTCTAAGTCTCTGGAGCTCTAAGTTGGCGGTGTTTAATTTTGCAGTGAGAGTTGCATTATATGCCTTGACTTTAGAATGTCTTACCTCCCTCTCCTGCATGGTTTCTTCATTAGCAGAAAGGCAAACCTTTAATTCCGACACCAATTTTTCCGCATCAAGAAGCTTTTGAACCTGAGGGTACAAGAGTATGGAAAGTTTACAGTACCCATCGATTCAAGTTGCATATTTCAATTTAATGTTACTGTTCAATGTTTAAAGAACAAACTCAAGACCAAAATGACAATAACTTACTCTATTGGCCAGATCTGACTGCTTTACACCAACAACCTCCTCCATTTTCAAAATAATATCATTTTGAGATTTTACAGTGATGTTTAGCATTTCAGATTGTTGCTTGGTGTCTCTTAGTTCTGTTTCAAGTAGACAAATTTTCTCTCTTTCTTTTTGGCTCTGCAGGAGTCAAAACTGTTAGACACACTTCAGAAAGTTAAATCCACAGTTAACAGATAATAAGAAAATACCTGTTCCTGCAGCTCTTGGATTTGGGCAGTCAATTGATCAACTTCAAAGCATGCAGAAGAATACTGAGAATCTGTGGATTGTGTCATAGCTGAAAACTTCATTTGCTGTGAAGCTGCAATGCTGTCCTGTAATTCCTACAACAAAAAGAAGATAACTCTTGTGTTTTGTGGTAACAAGCATACACCAAAAATTGAACTGAACATTAGTTGTGAGATTTACCTTTTCCAGTTCTTGTATTTTACTCTCCAAGACACTGCATTCCTTCAAATATCTTTGTTTCTCGTCTTTACGCTGGTCTTCAAGAAGGTCCAATGCCTTGGCAGCCTGACAAAGGAGCTCTTGTTTCTCACTGAGTTCTTTGCGCATTGTTTCATTTTCCACATTCAACTCTATGTTATTTTTAATGGCCTCCTCCTTGTCTTTCAAACCATTGATCTGGCTCATCCGCTCCTCAAGAAAATAAATACGTAGTTTTAAGTTGAAATTCTCCTTCCTCAGAGCAGACTGCTTTTCTTCATAGTCCTTCATCGTGCGGCCTCGGATGGGTGAGGCTTTGCTGGTGGTGGGCTGGGCAACTAGAAATAAAAAACAAAAAATAAAATACAACACTGTTCAGAAAGGACTTTGACAGAAAGTGTGGAGTGTTTTTGATGAAATCCAGGTTAAACAGACGGACGAAGCGCGTTTCTGTCTGAGCGCCTTGGCAACTGTTCAACATACCGACGTGCCTCGGTGGCCGCGCTCGGCCTGCCTGGCCTGCCCAGCCCACAGTGCCCCAGCCCTACGGCAAATCCCGAGCGCGGCAGTGCGGCACTTTCAGACAATCGGCCTCTCACTTCAAGCAGCGCCAGTCTGGCCGGGCTTTACTGCCTCAATCATCATTGTTCATACTCACAGGCCTCATTGAAGGTTTGCCCCAGCGCGGCGTCCAGCTGACTCGGACTGGTGCTGCAACAGAACGAACAACCCGTCAAAACCACAAAATCCAAAATCGAATCTTCAAAGCCGGTTCATTAGTCCTGCTGATGGGAATCGTCCTGGCCGTCACAAAAAATAAAAGGGGTTTTGGAGCAGGATGTCGCCAGCCCCACCTGGTCCACAGACAGGAAGGGGGGAAACACGCCCCCCCCTCCCCTCCCTCTACCGGAAATGGAAGCTGCTCATGGAGAGGACTGTCATAGAGGGAGGATTCCGACTTCCACGGCACAGGAAGTGCCATTCGGGAGCTGCTGTCTATCCAGGAGGCCGAGGACCGCCCCCGTAGGAGTCAAGGAGCTCCCCGAGAGAGAGTGACCTTCGCGGGAGTGAGCGAGAGAGTGCCCTTGAGGGGTTGCCCGCGGCGGGCACGTCCACGGGACACGTCCTGGTCGTCCCTCGATGTCGGGATGCCACAACGGCCCGATGACCGCGGCAGCCAGGGCACTGCCAGGGACCGGCGCGGCGGACAGCTTGGCCATGTTTATGTTTTTGCCAGCCGCTGGCGGCCGCCGGCCCTGGCAAGAAGCGCGCGGGGGGCTGCCAGCTGTAGACCGATTTCGAGAGTCCTGTCTCTCTCGCACCCATAGGGGACGCCGCGTGAGTCCGAGAGAGGCAGAGCGACGAAAGCGACTCTCGGAATCAGTCTGCCGGGCGAGACGACGCCGCGGCAAGGGTTATGGTTATGGGAGTCGCCCTGCACCGCAGCATCGCCAAGGTCAACTCGAGTAAATAAAAACCACGCACCCGGCGGGACCCTCAAGGCAGCCGTGCCCGTAGGGCCCGTGGGGCGCATAGGGTCCGCCGGACACTCCCGCGAGGCGTCGTTACCCATTCAATGGCAGGGCCACTGTGGAAAACGGAATGCCCCTCGCATTGAAGGACGACCCCGCGGGGCCTGGCCTGCCTGGCCTGGTCCAGCAAGGGGCGGCTCGCCTAGCCTCGCCCTGCTGCGTCATTCCCTGGTGAGTCACGCCACCCCCCGCGCGAAAGGAAGCGAAGGGCGGCGAGAGGGGGGGGGGGGGAGAAAGCCACCCCCGGGGCATTGCGTCACCGCGAGGGGCACCCCTTGTGGAGGCGTATGGAGCAGGCATTCAACGCACCAGCCGTTTCATTGCGGACACTCCGTCTCTCTCGCACTCGCGGGCCGCTGCGGCCGCTGCGTGGGGTGCGAGAGAGAGAGAGCGCTGTTCCTCTGGGAGACTGCAGGGCACAGGGCACCGCGAAGCGCGTCCGCGTCGCGGGGCTAATCTCCTTGGGCCTATCGAGCCAAGTCTATCTGGCCTCACGCAGCCTCAGCCTCGCGCGTCCCGGGCCAGTCTGTCTCTCTCTCTCTCGCCCATGCGGTGCGCCTCGTGAGTGCGAGCGAGAGAGACGCATCCCGAGACGGAACCAGTCTGCAGCAGGCCGTGGTGGGCGAGCCGGCCAGCCCGCGTCGCCTGCTCCAGCGCGGGTCGCGGGTTCGAACCCCGGGAGCAGTCTTCCTTCGGCCGTGCCACCGTGAGTGACTGTCGGTGGCACGGGCACGGGTTCGAGTCCCGTGCGCCGCACTGGCCGCACGGCACGGGGCGAGGCACGGGGCGCTGGCTGCATGCTGGCTGCGGCACTTGGCACTGGTACCAGCACGCTTATTCCGAGTGGCACGCCGCGTGAGTGCGAGAGAGACAGAAGGCACGGGGTGCAAACGGGCAGTACAATAGGGGCGACGCGGCGCGCAGCAGCAGCGCGAGGCGATCTATCACGCGCCAAGGTGTTCTCACTCAGTCCTAGACCGTGTACTCTGGGATTCTAAGACCCTAGGAGCGCCACCGGCCGCCCCGAGCGACACTCCGCCAGGGCAGGCACCAGCTCGTCTCCAGCAGCACATCTCGACCGCCCTGCTCGCGCTCGAGGCTCTCGGCCAGCTTGACCATGACCAGCCCGCCGGCAGGCAGTGCAGTGCCATGGCAGTGCCGACAGCCAGCCACTCCACCGAGAGGCTCTTGATGGCGTCGAGGCGGTGGATCCGAGACGACGCGCGTGCTTCGCAGTGCTTCGGCGGACCCCTTGGCCTGACCGGACCGCCGCCTATTTTCGTCTCGGCGTGGCGGGGCGGGGCGGGGCGGGGCGTGGCGCCCGCAGAGCCACCACAGCCCGCCCGCTCATTAGAAGTCCCCTCCCGTGCCGCGGAGCACCGCGGCGCTTGTCGGCGTGCTCATGACGGCGTCCATGACGGCGTCCATGACGGCGTCCATGACGGCGTCCATGACGGCGTCCATGACGGCGTCCATGACGACGGCCATGACTGCCACGCGCACGGCAGGCTGCGCGTCCCCGCAGCGCGGGGGGCCGCCGCGTCTCACCCCCGCGTCCACCGGCAGCGCCATAAACGCACGTCAGGCCGAGAAAACACGGAGGGTCCGTGGGGAATCGAACCCACGCCCCGGCAGTTTATGCCCATGCGGGAGCGACACCGGGACAGTGTAATGCGGGTTGCCCCACGCCAGAAACAAGCTGCGGCAGAGACAGGCAGGTCTCTCTCTCTCGCACCCACGGCGCGCACCGTGTGCGTGCGAGAGAGACAGACAGACTCCCGAGTCCACTCTTCGGACCCGAAGCGCAGATAGGCAAACAGCGGGGTCACTGATACCGACTGATACACGCCGGGAAATCGGTTCCCACTCAACAAACAAAAACAAAAAGCAGCTGCCGAAAAAGTGCATTCCGCTCGACGGAGCAGGCTGCACCGCCAGCACACTGTTTCCTGCAAACTAAATTAGAGCAACGAGGCATGATTAGCCGGCCAGGGCGGCCAGCAAGGCCGTTTCCGAGAGTCGTTCTCGTCGCTCTGTCTCTCTCGCGCCTGCACGGGACGCCCCACGAGTGCGAGAGAGACAGAGCGACGTCAGTGCTGCAGCGCCCACCCGCGGCCTGGGTCGGGCCTGGGGGCGGTCAAGTTAAAAGGCCAGTGGTCCACAGTGAGGAAGGCCCGGGCCCAGCCGGCCAGCCCCAGCAGGCAGCACGCCGCGTTCCCATTTCCTCCCCAAACAAAAACAAAAACACGGCGCAACGCGCAGCCCAGCGGCGAACCGCCCCCCAACAGTATCACGCCCCAGGGGGGAACAAAACTTTTTATCGTCTCCAGCTGGTGGTGTTGGACTTCTCCCGAATTCCTAGACAGCTTTGAGTTGCTACCGATTTTTACTGTCACAGTAGCGTGGGCTAGTCGGCTCGGTGGGTGCTTCTTTCGGTACTGGCTCATTTCCACGAGTTGTTTCCCCTTCGGTTACACCCGCGGTTACACATTCCGTCGCGCGAGCGCGCACACGCCGGGGCGGGGTGGGGTGGGGCGGCGGCGGCACGGTTCGTCGCGTCGGAAGGAAGTGACCGCCCTGGTGGAGACAGTGGAGTGGAGACGGAGCCGCAGAGGACGTCGAGGACGCGGTGTGGCTGGAAGGGCGATGGGGGCGGGAAGGTCCTGCAGGGACATCGTGGAGGGGGTAAAGGTCACAAGGGCCCTCCCTCCATCCATGCTTAGGAAAAGGGCCGGGCTCGAGTCGCCTCGCGTTCAAGTTCGGGGCTGCCAGGACGCCAAATTTCATACGCGCAAGCGGGGCGAAAATTTCCTGAAAGCGACCCCCCCCCCCCTGCCCTGTCTGCGACTGCGACTCAGCTGCGGTGCATCTGCAGGCGTCACGTTGCAGCCAGCTGGCCGAGACCGAGACCCCAGAGGCCGGCCGTGAGGGTGCCAGCCTTCCGAAACCGACCCTGTGGTCCAGGAAACGCAGCAGCGCCACAAAACGCGCCCAGCATACACACACACTCACACACGCAGGCCCAGCTGGCGAAGCAAAGAAAAGGGAAGGGAAGGGGGTTGGGTTGGAGGGATCCTCCACATATGACGTCACGCTACTTCTCATTGGGCGATGTCCTACGGCCTTTCTGTGAGTGCGAGTGAGACAGAAGGCGTAGCGTGGCGAGGGTGTTGAACCGCGCAGCCCCGGTCGAACCAAAACGCGCTGCAACATGCGCCACTTTCCTTGGCCCCTTCAACACAGACACACACACACACACACACACACGCCAACGACCTTGGCGTTTGGCCGTTTCGGCCTTTGCATGCGGCAAACGCGACAAGGGGGCGTGAATACGTTTTCTTCCGTTCTAAAAGCGTCGCGGCCGCACACGCCACGCGTGTCGCGCGCCGATCAACAACAATTTATCGGGGCGCCATCACTCTCGGCAAACTCGCACTCTGACCGCCTAGGCTTGGGGCCTGCACTGTGAGGCGTCGTGAGGCACTGCACCCCACCTGCCTCTGCCCGTACAGGCCTCCTGACAACAAGGCGGACAAACAGCCGAGCGGTTCGTCTCTCTCGCACCTACACGGTACTACGCCCCATGAGTGCGAGAGAGACAGAGCGACGCTTCTGAAGCGCTGAACATGGCAATTGCAAAGCGTTGGTCTCCTGGCCAGACGACTGCTTCGCACCGCCACTGTGTGGGTCCGCGCGCTCGGTCGCCTGCTTGCGTGGTCCGCACACCAGAAAACGCGCGGCACGCCCTTTTCCAGTGGCGTGCGCGTTTTTGGGCCGACGACGCTGCAGTGCTGCTGCCGCGGCGCCAGCCGGGCGAGTCGCACGGAGGAACGCGAAACCGGCGACAGACACCCAACCCGCGGCCTCTGTTGGCAATCGGCGCCACCGCGTCGCAGAGACAGTGCAGCAGCGCAGCCACCCAAAGGCAGCGCGCTCACTAGATTTATCAGTGCAGTTCTGGCCTCGCTGGAGTCAAACCACCGGGCAACCCTCTCTGCACACACAGTGCGGGTCGATTCGTTGGCCTCGCCGGCAGTACAGTGGAGTGTCCAGTCAGCCGCAGCGACCACCCTCCCGCCCCGTGGGCAGTGGACTGGTTCCGAGAGGGAGGTGTCTCTCTCGCACTTCTGGGGCGATCCGTCCCGGTGCGAGAGAGACAGAGGCTGTGCGGCAGGTCCTGCGGGGCAAGCCCGCGACCCCCTCAGCCCCGCAGCCGGCTAGACTCGGGGCCTTGCCTGGCCGCGCCGGCTAGACGGCGAGCCTGATCGGCGAGGTCCACGCCCGACAAGGCATTATCAATAAGCGACGCGGGGGTGGGGCGGGGCGGGGGCGCTTGGAGCACACAAGGATCCAGTTTCCGGCCACCCCCACGTTCGCCAATGAGCACAATGACGGCCTTTATCCAGGCGAGAGAGAGAGAGATGAGATTTTTTCCTCGGCGGTAAGGACACTTTGTTGTTGCAGCGGATATCGGCCAGGCGGATACGGCCTGGCCGCCCCGCCCGCGCCGCCCATACTCGGCGCAGCTGCAGCCCGCCGTCGCGCTGTCTCTCTCGCACCCGCACGGAACGTTCCGTACGCCCCGCGAGTGCGAGAGAGACAGCGCGCAGTGCAGCGGCGAGGCGCATTGCAAGGTGACCGGGTCGACCATCTGCACACCTGCGCGTCCATCCCGGCGGGCAAAACAATGCCCCCCCCCCTTTTCCCTCCTACGATAACTCTTCCACCGAAAACCGCGCGAACACACGTGGGTCGCATTTACATACATACACGTGTACCGAGGCAGCGCTTCAGCGGGGCGCGGCGGCGCCTTCCCCGAACACACGCCGAAACGCTGCAAGGAGCGGCCCGCACAGTGGGCCAGAAGACCGGTGGAGGCGGCCAAAACTCTAGACGCGTTTTGAGCTCCAGAGTCGCTAAACGGGACTCGAACCGAACGTGTGACCCCACCAATGGATTCCTCGTTCGGAGAGCAATCCATTGGTGGGGTCACACGTTCGGTTCGAGTCCCGTAGCTCAAAATGCGTCCGGGACTTTGGCCGCCTCCACCGGTCTTCTGGCCCACTGTACGGCATCATGCCCGCCATGGCGGCACCAATCAGACGCTGTTTATCACAAGAATTGCGCAACCAGTGGCGAGGCGCGGCCGAGAAGTCGCCCATTCGGACACCAGCCATTTGCGTTGGCCGCCAGCGAGCCCCGCGTTGGAGACAGAGAGGGACTCCAGGAAGGACGCGGTGCGCTAGAGCTCGCAGCGTCTGCGCCCGGCAGACTGACTCCGTCTCTCTCGCACCCCGACGCAGCGCGACGCAGCGCCCCGCGAGTGCGAGAGAGACGGGGAGAGCGTGGCTGCCCTACGGCCCGGCGGGCGGCGCGCGGTGCAGGATGTGTTCGTTGAGCCTCCCTTCCCTCCCTGAGTCACTCCGTCAGTCACTCGATAACGGGCAAAACACAGTCAAGCAAAACGCCACTTTATTTCGGGCGACTGACGGCCAATCGAGGCGCATATCGTTATCGTCGCGAGGCGTGCTCTCTTTGCCTCTTCCTTCCTAGTCCCCAATGTCCGAGAAGCATTTGGGTCACTGGGCTCCATTGAAGGCAGTCGGCCGCTCTGACAGGTCCGCGGACCGATTCCGAGAGTCGCTTCCGTCGCTCTGTCTCCCTCGCACTCGTGGGGCGTCCCGCGTGGGTGCGAGAGAGACAGAGCGACCAAGTGGAGGACCGCGGAGGATCGCCACGTGCGTGGTGCACGTGGTGTGCCATCAATGGGACTGCTGACAGTGTGGGAGACAAAGACGGGGCGACTCGCTATACCACTGCACTGCTAGTCTCATTATCCTGCGACAACTCTGCTGCAGACACGGCGAATAAGGCGAATGACACGACACGTGCACTTTCCTCCGACCAAGCGACCACTTGACTTTCCGAGAAGTTCCACGCCACCGACGGGGTCGGGACGGCCGACCGGTTATCGAACGTTCCATCCTCCCTGCAACTCAGCAACGCGATTCTACAGTGTATACGTGACCGACCGACTCACGTCCTGCCCTGGACTCTGGGGCAGAACAGCCGCCAGCTTTTCGTGGAAGCGTCATAGCGGGTGGGTAGGCAGTACTCGCCAACGGTGCAGCGGTGTCCACGGTGTGCCTACCTCAGCCTGCGAGCCGGGGTCCACGTCCAGTCCAGTCCCTCCTTTTCCCTTTCTGTTTGCGCCCCGCCCCGCCCCGCCGCGCCCCTTTGCCTTATCTCGGAACGCCTCGGGGCGGCCGCCGCGGGCGATCGCATCGCGTGTCAACATGCACCCGTGTCACCGTGACGTCATCGTGACCGCAGATCAAAACTCCGACGTCGCCATTGGCGTAGCACGGCGTAGGGCCCCTCGCTCCGTCTCGCTCGCACTCACGGGGCGTCCAGTGTGGGTGCGAGAGACAGAGCGACTCGGCTTGCCGGACCCCAATAAACGCGACGCATTTACCGCGACACGCACAACGGCGCAGTGTATAGTGCACTTCGTGATTGCAGCCCCTCTCTCTCTCACACACGTGCTGGTCAATCCGTCCACGTCGGCGAGTGAGGCAATTGAACCCGACCGACGCAGAGGCGTTTTGGCGACGCGCCGAAGAACGCGCGCCAGGCCAGGCTGGGCCGCCGCAGCCCCTAGCTACGCCGCCGCCCGCGCGGCCGAGCCGCCTCTGTAGGCGCACTGTAGGCTGACGAGGACGGGGCCCCGGGGCCCGGCGGGCCCCGCCACACCGCGGCGCCGTCCCGCCGTCCGCGGCCCATCATAAATTGACATGTGGGAAGTGAGGGCAGAGCGGGGCAGAGCGAGAACGCCCCGCCCGGCCACATGCCGGCCACATGGCGGGCCTTGCGGGCAAAGCCGAACGCCAAGCAGAGCACCTGGCCGTCAGGCACCGCAGGGGCACCGCCAGGAGGGGAAGCAGGGACAACGCCGAGCTTGCTGTGCTCACCAGAAAGGGGTCTGCTCGGGGGTGGAGCCGGTGGGCGACGGGGAGGAGCCGCCCCCCGCGGCCCCCAGCCGGAACAGCGACATGGTCAACACTTGCACTGAACGTCCCGGCACGCACACGCACGAGCTCCGTCACGAGCCAGTCACACAGTCCCGGAGTCGCGCTCCTTTTTCCTCCTCTTGATCATCTTCCGGAGTCACACACGCGGGCAACACGTCGCACTCGTCGCCGGGGAGCAGAGCGAGCTGAGCGCGAGTCCGCGGCGCCGGGGCAGCGGCAGCGGCGGCAGGGCCGTGTTGACGTCCAGCTTCGACTGACTGCCGCGCGGCGCGAAGCGAGGACGCACCGCGGCGGTCCAGCGACAGGCACACCACTGCGCACGCGCGGTGCTCTGAATCGCGGCGACGCGACCGGCACGGCGATGAATATGACCTTCTCGGGGCGAGGCGCGACGCGAGGCGACGCGGCGAGACGCAGAGTGCAGTGGACGGACACGACGGCGACACGACGGCGGCCCACGCCTGGCCCACTCTGCGCGGCTGCGCCCTGCTCTGACTAGCGGCCCGACTCAACTGACTGACTCAAGTCAACTCGAACTGAGAGAGAAGGACCTTGGGGCGCGAGGGCCCGAGCCCGAGACGGGATGGGAGGCTGCGGCCTGCGGCACGGCCTGCGGGCTGCCTGTCTGCCTGCGCGGCACGGCGCGGTGCGGCACAGCTGGGGCCAGCCTGGGGCCCCACCGCCGCGCTGGCAGCCAGCCCGCATAGCGTCGCGCTCCCCTCCGCCCCCACACACGTACCCCACCCCACCCCCCGCGGCGGGCGCGGCTGCGCAGAGCGTCGCGGCGTCGCACGGCGCGGGCCCCTCCAACCCCTTTACAACCCCCGACCACCCCCACTCCACACCGGCAGACACGTGCGGATGGGGCCCGGGGGCCCGGAGTGGAGCGGGGCGACGGGGCGGAAGCTTTCAGGTGGACCAGGAGTAAGAGGGGGAGGGGGCATGACCTTACATAAAGAAGAGGGGCCCGGGGGTGGGGCGGGGGCGGGGCAGAAATGCTGAGCGAGTCAGCCACCCCGACCTAAAGGCCCAGCCACCCTTGAATGTCACGCGAAGCGCGAAGCACAAGGCGACCAGCCTGCAGCCCTACAGGGTCTGCCCGGTGCATCCACGAAGGCTGCAGTGTCAGGAAAAGTGAGGCAGCCCTCAGTTGGCTTGGCTTACGCCCAGAAGGCTTTGGAATGACTGAGCATGCTCTCCCTGAGGGCTTTCAACAAGCCCTTGTTCTGATTCTTGAACAGATTGGTAGGCTGTCCAACAGATGTGCGTGCTTCACCTAAATGGACTTGCACAAGCTCTGACAACATAAACAGGTTCTATGCCCAGAAAAAAGACAAGGAAAGAAAAGTAGAAAGGGAGGAAGAGAGAGGCGAAAGCAGATGTAAGGCTTCACATTATGGCGATTCACACCATGGTCAAGGGCATGACTCAGAGGGTTACTTTCATAAAATCAATTCCATTACGCGAAGTTTAACTACTGCTAAACAAGCAGACATCAATCATCGGATTCCACAAAACTGTTAACAATTTGACGAGTTCCCTACACACTACTAGCTTCCTCTGCCATGTAGCACTCTTGTAGAGCTAAATTGGTGTCGATATGATAACCAACAGAGGATTTGAGAGATAGAGGTCTGAAAAGAAATAATCTGCTTCTGTCTCCCAAAGATTCATAATTTGGTACCAACACAGATCAACATGGACTAGTGTAAACACACAAATGGCAAATGGATTTTCTCAAATGTGTGTGAAGGTAGGCTTTACGTGATCTGTATGAGTGAAGAATAGGAATGCATTATCAATTCAGACGTAAGGGTAATGAGTTCTAAGCATGATTTTATACTCATAATACGGAATTTGAAAGACACAAGCCAAACTGAAATCCACTTAATGCGTTTAAAATAAATGTCACACGAGGTGTAAGTAATAGAATAAAATTAGAAGGGCAACAAGTAAAACATATTTAATTGTATGAAAAAGCGATAAACGACGCTCAGCAACAAAACAAAAGCTCTGAATGTCCTAACATATAGCCTAGTCGCGAGGGCAAAACAGTACACAAAAACATACAAGATTTACTCACTTCGTTTCGTCGAAAAGCATCGACATTCCAGTTTCGTCGAATTCCGACATGGCTGGAGTGTTTTAGGTGCTTCAAGAATAAAAACGTAGCCACAACAAAGTCACATTTGGGATTTAAAAATTGCACGTCGTATCAAAGCAAGTCACTCACTACTACCGCTACCCGCTACCGCTGGCCGTTTGCAAGTTTGAAATCAACACCAACCTACTAACTGAAAAAGTAAACAAAGTTGTTCACAAATTGCACGAAACGTGAAACAAAATTGCAAATAGAGCAATTCTTTTCACAAAATGAGCTTGATGAACATACAGTTGGTCGAAAGCTTCAGATCGAAGATCACAGTTGAACTTAGAAACCACTGTCTAGAATGCACTGGCAGGTTGGTATGAGACTGAGTTGCCTTTGTTGACTTTATCTGTACAGAAGCGTTGCCTGCTTATTTCCAGAACACGACGGCGGGAAATAAACCAGTTTTTCAAAAACAAAAAGAGTCCTGATGGTTAATGATCGATTTGTAAAAAAATTAAATAATCCTGAAGAAAAAAGCTAACTGAAGAATTATTAGGTATGTAAAATTTTGTAATGCTTTATGTTTAATCATAATTTTATTTCACACAAAATTATGAAATGATCATATCTACACGCAAGAACAAGATTTCATGAGCCAACTTCTAAAAGTTTACGAAGTCAAATTCACGCACCATGAGAAGTCTCACGGTTAAAGTGTCATTTTTAGGATCCCATTCAGCATGACCTTTCTCCGCATTAACAGGGTGAGGCAGAGACAAATGTAGCCTATACAGAGGTGAACGGATGTCGAGTGCCGCATTTGTGGTGGTCAGATCGATCTCACTCTTTGTTTCCCCTTTCAAATAAATTACAATAACCATATTTTCACAACTTGCTGTGGATGGTGTTTTGCCATTCATCTGTGGATTTCAAGTTATCATAAATTAAATAAATTGTCGGAAGTTTCATAACATGCCTCACTTGTACTCATACCTGAAGGAAAACATCTTCGGGGCTCACTGCTTGTTGATACTTAATTTCATATTCTGGCTGCTCTCGAGGGTCAAAGTACTCTTCACCTATGGGTTGATTCACAACCTCATCAGGTTCCCAAATTGCATCTGGATCAGTTCTCTTATTTTCCTGCTGGTTGTCACCTGAGGCTGACTCATTAATGCGAATGCTAACAGGTTTCCTCTTCCCAATGTCTCCAGGTCCTGTGAGCATTCAGAGTTCATAGTGTAAATCTCACTGTGTTTCTTTGCAACCATCATGTAGATCTGTCTTGAATTTGATCCTTACCAATTTTTGACATCCCTGGCAGATCATCCTCACTTTCTGAGCTCTCTTGATCAGTCTTGAGAAGATCGGCGAGTTTTCTAATATCACTGCTAAATTCATTCATTTTTCGATTATCACTGTGGGTGTTATTTTCAGTAAATATTTGATATTTCTCTGAAGTATCGTCTCTCTAGTTGCCTCTAGTTGCCATGGCAACATTGTTCTCCAAATCACTTCCCCGATTTACTGCTTCAAAGCTCTGAACACATATTAGATTTGCATTACTTGTACGGTACTGCACACAATTTTCTTTTTCGAAACAACTTCAAATATTTTGTAAAATCTAACTGCAACGGGCAATTAAACCAGCTTAATTCCGGGTACTTCCCCATAGAATCTGCCGCTCAGCTGTTCGACGTGCGTATAATCCATTTATATTGCTGCGAATCTGCGAATAGTGGTAGCAGAAGCGTTACGCGACCGCACCGGGTTATTGCATTCTACTTCATTGAGTTAAATTTGTGGCCTATATTCTTCCACAAACAAACTGTCGTAATTTCTTGATCTGACGTGGTTAAATTCGGTCTTTAAGACTGACATATGGTGACGGTTGGGCCGATAAACAGACTGTTGTGAAGTGAGAAGAGACTTTCCCAGCCCAACGTGATTTGCATCATCTTGTATTTCCTTAGCGATTGTTGTTCATGACGACATTATATTCCTCGTCTCAGGAAAAACATAGATAAGTAAGTTTCATATGTAACCTAGGAAAACGTATGTATATGTCTATTTTCGAGCCATGGCATGTAACCTTATTCGTTTGGCACTGTGCATGCCTGGGACATGTATTATTTCTTTATTGTCTGCTCCCCCTTTTGTCATCTAATTTTTAAACATCGTAAGATTTTTCCTCAGTGCAATTTTTATTTTAGAGTGTTACATCTTTTTTCCAGGTTTAAAATGAACAGTGTTGGCGCAAACTGCAATGAGCTTAAGCAAGAGTATGATGCTTGCTTTAATGTCTGGTTTTCAACCCAATTTCTAAAAGGCAACAACAGTGAAAGGATGTGTGCACCTCTCTTTAAGGAGTACACCGAATGTGTCAAAGTAAGTACGATTTGTATTTGAACCTCTTTTTATACTATAAATAGTCTGTATGCCATTAATTTTTTTGCGCTTCATTTTTTATAATATTAGGAAGCCATCAAAGAGCAGAAAATTGACATGAAAGAAATTGAGAAAAATGTTCTGAATACTGAAGAGGAGCAGAAAAAGCCTACAGGCCAGAGATGAATTTTAACAGTACCCTCAAGAAATTTCTGCGCTGCTTCACATTCCAGCATTTCTGCAGCAACCCTATTTCATTAGGCACGGTTGCCAATTATTGTACAGTTCGTTCTCATTCTCAAGTATGAAACCATGGGGATCACCTCTTGATTCAACCCTGCCACCCTCTCTCTCGTCCTTTTTTAATTGTGCAAAAATATTGCAATTTCAGGTGTATTTCCTTTGTTTGTCATTTCCGTTATCGACATTAAGTTTATGAAGTTAAAGTTTTATTATTATAATAAATAGGCTATTGCAAGCTTATCAGTCAATAAAAAATACTGTGATACGAAAACCACCTCCTTAGGTTTGAAATTTTGAACCTTTTGAACGCGTTTCTTTGCCCCCCATCCCCACCCCCGCACATTCAACTGTTTCCCCCTGCTCCTCCCACCCCCACCCCCCTCTCCGTCACGTCCGTCATCAACACATCCTTTCCACGAGTTGTTAGGTTAAACCCCAAGCCCGACAGTTTGACGTGTAAAAAATGAGTACTTTCACGGACGTTCAAATCAGAAGTATCGGTGGTGTCCTGAACGACCCGAACCGTCCCCTCAAGGAGCGTTTTAGAGCGCTATTTACTTTGCGCAACATTGGCGGTCCCATTGCTCAGGAGTGCATCAAGCAGTGCTTCTCAGATTCGTCTGCTCTTCTCAAACATGAACTGGCGTATTGCTTAGGACAGATGCAGGATCATGCTGCGATACCTACACTTATCTCTGTCCTACGAGATGTTTCTCAAGAACCCATGGTTCGACATGAAGCTGGTGAGGATTTCTTCACCTCATTTGTTAATGCTCATGGACACCGCTAAACTGACCGATTAAGTTCTTGTCACGCAACAAACTATTGTTTTGCCCCCTACAGGTGAAGCGTTAGGTGCTCTTGCTGCACCTGATGTTCGAGCAATACTCGAAGAGTTTAAAAATGATCCCACAGTTGAAGTGGCTGAGACGTGCACTCTAGCTTTAGATCGCTTGTCATGGCTCGAAAAGCATACGGAAGATGGGCGTAAAGAAAATCCCTATCAGTCAGTTGATCCTACTCCACCATCAGAGGAAACTGATGTGACTAAGTTGAGAGAGATGCTATTGAACGAAAATGAATCACTCTTCAACCGTTATCGTGCAATGTTTGCTCTTCGTAATCTTCGTTCAGAAGATGCTGTATTAGCTTTAGCTGATGGTGTGTAACAACTGAGTGTTTTAAAAGTTCCTGTTTCTTGACCTGCTTAATCATATCTCTTCATTCCCTGCCTTCTATTTTTTCAGGGCTGAAGTCTGGTAGTGCCCTCTTTAAACATGAGGTTGCCTTCGTGCTCGGACAGCTCCAAGATCCTGTGTCAGTTTCCGCCCTCTTAGAAAGCCTTGCAGATAAGAGTGAGAATGAAATGGTAAGACATGAATGTGCTGAAGCTCTTGGAGCAATTGCCACCGATGTTTGTAATGCTGAGTTGAAAAAACATTTGAATGATGAGAAACGTGTTGTAAGTGAAAGTTGCATAATTGCACTTGACATGTGTGAGTATGAGAACAGCCCTGAATTCCAGTATGCAAACACACTTTTGTCAGTGCAGTAGCATAAAGACCCAACCATTATTTTGTGATGCTGTATTTTTTGTTTTTACAAGACAAGTGGCATGAATGTGTAACATGCTCTTTAATAAAATATTTTTTTCCCATTGAGTCAACTTTGATATCATGGAAAGGAAACATTTAGTACCTTTTTTCAGTTTTTTTATTTATCTTGGTTGACAGGAAAAAGAACTGTGCATTTGCAAATTAATTAGTGGTGATGTTTCAGATTGTCACACAAGGCACATACATAGGCACGCAAACAAATTTATCTTTACTCATAGATACCAGTAAGTAATATTCATGTTTTCAAGAAACAAGTAATACTGGTATCTCTGAAATCTTTGATGTTGCTATAAGCAAGATGACATTTGCATGCATAACAGTGAGATTTTCAAAAAGAGGGAAAGTTATTTTGCCCAGTGTGTGAGTCCACAAATACAATCAGGAGTTTTCACAGGATAACTCACTGCTGACTTAAAATTAATTGCAATAGGCCTTGAATTACTATAATACAAAAATCATCGCTGCTTCAATATTCCGTACAAGTAAATGCATATTTGATCTATGGAACAATAGGTAAATAAGTAGGTAATAAGGTAACTTAGGACTACTAGCAGAAATGAATGCTTGTCATTGATCTACAAGATGGAAAAAGGAAGCAATAACTGACGATGGAACACTGGCCACTGTCAATCTTACATGAAAAGAGACCACAGCAAAAGAAAACATCAAGAGGCTTTCTTCTTTTAAAATCAAAAGAATGATGTGGGAAGGAACAGAATTCAACAGGAATGGCACAACATATTAAAAGAAAACATCAACACCTCCAGTTTTTTTTTTTTAAATATAAAATAAGAGAAAAGAAATTGTAAAACTACAAAATTTATACAGGAATCACAAGTGAATTGGTAAAAGTGATGTAGAGCCAATAAAGCAAAAACCATGGCACAAAATGACAACTTAAATATAATCAAATCTGCAAGAAATTATTGCTGACTTTTTAAACAAGAGGCAAATGATGCAAACAATTCAACAAATAAATTAAGGAGAAAAAAATAAACAAGCTATTTAAGTACCTCCAACATAGTACTTCCCCCACCCCTCTCCAAAAGACAGAAGGCGATTCCATAACATGGTAAAAGAGAAGTCCCTACTAGGACTTAAGAAGACGCAACAGCTCTGCTTTGGAACAGAAATACAACCAATGCATTGCTAACAAAAGCAGAAGATGCATCAGAATTTGTCTGGATCAGTTCAGTTCATTAAAAATAAATAATACTAACATAATGAATTGAAAACATTTCATATCAGGACAAGAGGTATACAATCATAGCATACTCTCAAGCCTCACAGATCACTGATTACAACCTCAGAGGGTGCTTGACCTCTCTTATCTGGCTGTGTCTTCAGTTCTGGTGCGATGCTTATAAAATACTTCACAAGGGATAAATTTCCAGAACTTATGCCGCGATGAACCACAGATTGTCCATCATCATCGACAGCTCTGACATCAGCACCCTTTTCTACGAGAAACTTACACATTTTCTCCTTTCCTGAATAAGCTGCTCGAAGTAGCGGAGTAACTTTACCAGCTCTTGTTCGGATATTAATGTCTGCACCATTGCGAAGCAAAAGATGTGCAATATCTATATGACCTTTGCGTGCTGCATAATGGAGTGGGGCATAACCACCAGAATCATAGCAATTCACATTGGTCCCCTTGCGCAAGTGCTGCTCAACCTTGTCAACTTCTCCACAGAGTGCTACAAATGAGAAAAAAACAACTGTGAGCCTGTAGAGGGAGAAAAGTAGAAGGGCAAAGCTTGATTCAAATTAAGGAGAATTACCTGCATAACCCAAACTCCTTTCAAATTCAAGTTCATCTAGAGTCTGGTGGACACTGGGATTTGAAATAGAACATGCATGATGCTCACACATTTTTTGTTTTCTAAGGAAAAAAGAAATCACTATCATTGAATGCAATATAGATGCAGTAGAACTAAATTGTAAAAACAAAAAAAAAAGGCACAAACCTCTTTTTTCTTGAGAGCTATCGTTGTCAAGGATTTCCAACAGGTGAAGAATCAGTAAACAAATAATAAGAAAATATGAGTTAGCACTAATCGCAAATGTAATAATTCCATGTACTGGAAAATAAAGTAAAATCAAATTTGCTTTGAGGAGAGGAAGGAAGCAATCTTCAGTCTATGCAGCACTACTCTCGAATTCTGCTGAAACACAACAAGTTTCACGAAATGTGTAGTTCAACTTTAAATAAATATCGTCAAGACACATGCTATGCACCCACATTCATAGAGTTCTAATGCAATGCAACCACAAATTGAGACATTCATGAGCTTTGGATCAACGGCTAACAAAAGGAGCTTACACTGCTAACAATTACTAAAACGATCCAGCATTGGCATTGACTCTTTATTGTAAAATGAAATCTGCCTCAAAACTAATCCTAAAGACCATACAAAAAAAAATCACTGTATCATTCCAAAACTAGGTTCTCTAACTAGGTATACTCTATTCATACTCAAATGAATAAGGAAATGGGTTGATAGCACATGCTTCAACTAGGTATAATTTAAGAAAACTGGACCTCTCTAAAATAAAGGTTTGTGATAAGATCAAAACTTACATGGACTGGTCTCTCTTTGAAGAGTCCACGTTATTTCAATTTCACCAGTTGATGACACAACTTTGTAACCAAGCTGGCACAGCGTGTTAATAACTGTAATGGGGGGTCCTGAGGAGTAAAGCAATATTTAAAATAAACTGAAGGCAGGAGCAAAGAGGCAGACACTAAAATCCTATCAATTACCTTTGATTACAACACCATTGTTCACTTGAGTCTTTGAGTTTGGGAAAAGTTTTCCTAAAGCGGAAATTTCTTCTGGGTCCAATCCAAATACGTCACAATCATTAGAAGACAAAGCCCCTTTAACAGCCACATAGTAAAACACACTAGCCATGTCAACGTGGAACCGATCAAATTTTAAAAACAGGAGAATATTCAAGCACCTGTAAAAGAAATTCTCATTAGTCAAACATAAAAAAGTTAGTAGCCAAAATAAAAGGTCACTGAAACAAGTTATTACTTGGCTTCGCTGTAATGGGTGCAGGCACTGGCTCAGGCTCAGAAAAATCTTTTCTCATAGTCCACATATACTCATTGTAATCTTGCTTCACAGATGTTGAGGAAGATGCCACTACATGGTATCCCAACACTTCTAAGGCAGACAGAATGACACAGGGATGTTGAAGGTATACTATTGTGCTGTCATCACAATAACCTCCTGAAGCAAAGCGGCTTAGTTGCTCAATGTCACCCGCTGAAAGAAAAATACTATGTAAGATATGCTTGGGTCAAAAGAAAAACGTTAAAAGAATTACAAATAAATTTACCTTTTAAGCCCGATACAAGGACACGCCACGGATATCTATTGTCATAAGACGCTAGGTTGCCCCGCACAATAATATATGGCATGGATGTAGAGAGCTATCCTGAATATGATCCAAACAGAAAGAGATACAGCTTTATGTCACACAAATCATAAATGTTAGATGATAAATTTTTAGCAAAGTATAACCTCAACAGAAACATCACAACTTCCATTAAGATCAAGGTGGAAAATATTTAAGGGGAGCTAACAGATATAACCAAAAAATTGTATAGACGTGCTCCGCGATAAAAATTAAGATAATCAATTAAAGTTGCTACTCGAGTCGAAGGAGTTGTGTGCAGACAAAAAGAGGCGTAAAGCCGAGACTACTGACACTTGCAGCGTTCAGTGGTTGTAGGAGATACGGTTTTGAATTCCATTCGAAAAGGTACACATGACAAAAAACTAAAGAGTAACACAATTCAAAGACAACGTACAGCTCAACTTATGCAAATTTTCTGAATGTTGTTTTGATTTGGTAATGGCCACCGGACTACTCCCTCTCTCCATTCACCACTACACTCACTCTCTGACTCCGTCTGACGAGCACCTGTCTCTGTCGCACGGCACGGTCATGTGACACACGTGACACACGCCCACCCTCCCACAGTCCCAGGCGTTCCACCAATGAGGCGCCTCGTTGCTCGCGCCTCGCGCTGTGCCGAGCGACCGGATTGGCTGGGAGGGCGCAGCGTGGTATGAGAAATCCTGCGCTACGCTGTGTGAACTTCCCCACGAAGCCGACAGGACCACGACAGGACCCGTCGCGACTTTGATTGATTAGATCCTTTCAGCCAGAAACGCGTTCGCGGTACCTTCTGAGTTCGTCCGGCAAATCATCTTGATTCACCGTGGCTATGTATACTTGAATAAAAAGAAACTAAATTTACGTCGCGAGCGATTTTTATTTCAAAATATTTTCAATCCAACATTATTAGCTCATCCGAACGCCATAGATGCGTGGCGAAGATATTGCTAGCCCCGCGTACGTCCAGTGAGCAAAGCTCGGTGAGTGCCCCCACCCCCGCTGCAGGCTGCAAGGTGCAGGCATGCAGGCCCCTAGTTGGCCGCCGAGGTGCGCCGAGGTGCGCCTCGGGGCCTTGATAAGGCCTGGTGCACACAATGGGGCCGGCGCGTGCCGCCGTGGTCGCGGTGCTGGTCCTCGTCGTCCTCGCCCTGGAGACGGCGACGCGCACACTCGCCCAGGAGGACGGACTGCGCATCGGCGAGCTGGTGCCGCCGAGCGAGGGTGAGCTCATCGAACAGCGTTTCGTCACCCTTATGGGACACGGTCGTGTCGAGAGAGACAGAGCGACATGAAGCTGCTCGCAGACCTGCGCTGGGAGGACGTGTCTTCGTGGCGAGACCTGCCCACCAGCGCCGTGTGGTGCGGCTACCAGTACCCCAACGACGAGAACTCGCGCCGCGAGCGGTCGTACGTGGCGCGGGTGTACCGCATCGGCAGCCTCGTCCCCGGGAAGGTGACGTACTGGGGCGCCTCGGCCGCCGTGGCCAACTCCACCTTCAACAGCGTCTCCACATACGAGGTACACAATGCGGAGCAGAGAGAACCCATCCTCGCTCGCACTCAAGGTGCCGAGAGACAACAACGCTGCCCGCCTGCCTCCAGGTGGCCGTCGTGAACCCTCGACGCGTGCTGTGGGTGGCGTCCTCCAACGGCAACGTCCCCGCGGGCGCCCCGATCGCCGGCCTGTCCAGGGAGGGCACCCCGCTGTACTCCTGCAAGTTCCACTACGACCGCCGGCTGTCCATGGCCTGTGGCGCGGTACGCCCCCGGGTTGCCTCGTCAGCTTGCTAGACAAGGAGTGATTCGGAACGTTCCTCGCGGCAGGTGCAGCGCTACACGGAGCGGTGCGTGGCCGAGATGGACGGCAGCCTGGTGTCGTCCCCGGTGTACGAGGTGCTGACCCTGGTGCCCGGGCCGGCCTTCCCGCCACCGCCGCTGCCCTTCCCCGCGCTTGCGCTGCCGCGGTACGCCGCTGGGGCGTACGCCGGCTACCAGAACCAGGGCGTGGAGGACGACCAGATGCCCCGGCCGGCCGGCCGACAGAAGTAGCGACATGGGTGTACAGCAGGACCATTAAAGTGGCTCGCTCGCGTTCCAAAAGTGCGCTATCCCGGCCAACTTGATCACAACAGCGGCCGAACCAAGCCTCTGACTCGCACTTATGATTGGGCGTTCCTCACCATGACGAGTCCATGTGCTGTTCGGTCCTCACACATTGACAGCTTGCCGCCAAACAACGGCTTCCGCTTGCTGTTAGAGACCTAGCGTGCGTGGCATGACCAGAAATGGCGTGACAGCGACGTCACGTGTGCAGTCAACAGTCCCGCACACCCCAAAACTCATCTCCGTAAAAAAAGTTGGCCAAAAAGGATGCCAACGGCATGCGGTGTTCCCAGGCGGTCACCCATCCAAGTACTGACCGCACCCAACGCTGCTTAACTTCGGTGTGCGGAAGGGAACCGGTGGACCCAGCGTGGTGTGGTCGTTGGCGAAGGCTCGAGCTTTGCGCGCCGCACTTGTAGCGTAGCTGTCTGTAGCGCCGAGCAAGTAGGCAGCCCCTCGTACACTCATGCGTGCCTAGCCTACCTGCCAGGCGTCTGTGACCGTTACCATTACCATTAGAGACTAGACCTCACTTGATCGTATGCCATTTCGGGTCAGCTGCTTTGGGACTTCAGTCAGCAAGTCAGACCACACATAGCCGCTGTGGATACATCCCCAAAATTAATTGGTGTTTCATCACTTAAGGATCAGGTGTGAACAAAAGAAGGGACACTATGTAGTTTCATAAAATTACTCCTTTCATTTAATTTAGAAGCAAGTATCAACACTAAAAGAACATTATTGATCAATATACTGTTTGTTTATGTACATGAAAACTCAGACATGCATTATATAAAAAATATTTAAAAGGTATCACAGTTATAGTATAAATAGGAAACTTAAAGCTCATTCACATGCAACAAATATTTTAAAAAACAAACATTAAACATTCACACTTATTTTTAGTTTGAAACAGAGTGCTCTTAGACCATAATTAATGTCCTCAAAAGCAAAGGGCCGCGATTCTTTTCTGAGACTGCCCCAGTTGGGTTGAAGAGACGGGAGAGAGCTGCTCACTGATTTCCCCTTCTTGTTTTTGAACTTATTGATACAGAACATTAATGTTGACTTCAATTTCTCATCAGAAGAAATAATCTGAAAACAAGACTTCAAAGTTAATCAAAGAAGACTCAAGAAAGGCATTATAAACCTTATACCGATAGTACCTTAGCTTTATCAGTGTTTTGGCTAAAATGCCACAGCATTGTAATGAAGTTCTGTAGAACCCCCTCTTCAACTGAAATCCATTTTTTCATAAGGTGTGGAAATAGGTTCAAGTAAGAACCATCCTGATGAAAAGAAAACTCAAATTAGCAGACAAATACTGAATATTTCCATCACTATCCTAATTTTTGGCATCTCAAAAACCAGAAGAAGCTTATGTTGCACTTTAAGAAATATTTGATGATACGTACACACCACACAGCATCATTCGTTTTTTCATATTTGCAGAGATGCAGTAATACTCTAGATGCTAATTTTGCAACAGCCATGTCAGCAACACCACGATTAACATTGCACAGAACACTAAATAATTTGGCAACAATATCCTGAGCCACCATTTCTTCACTTAAAACAGGTGATATCATACAAATGGTATCTGCAGAAAAGAAGAAACAAGATTATAATGATTTAAGAAAGAAAAGAAACAAGTGCTAAACTACTATGAGACAACAATTACTTACTCAATGCGTTTAAAACCATAACAACTCCCCCAACTGTTTCACTCTCTAGGTCACAACATAAAACGCCAATACGTTCTTTCATGGATTGGGGTTGAGATGGAGCCTGAGCACGTAATTCTTCATTTAGGTCCTTTAATCTTGATGTTTCTTCTTCAAACCTTTTCCGTGATAGATATCCCCGATAAAATGACTGCAAAAAATAAAATAATCATAAAAAATTGCCAGAACAAAATTGTTTGAAAATACTAGCCAGACTCATCAATCATATACCTGTATCTTGGTAGCAGCAGAATTTTTGAGATATATTTCCTTTCTTCTGGAACACCAAGCCCGCCACGTCCGCTGGATAATTTTTGCAGAGTTTTCACGGTGAGCTTGAATAGTCTCTTGTACCTCTCTCTCCCTTTGAATCCATTTCCGGGTGAGGAATCCTCTAGCATGTTTCTGTAAGAAAGCACATACGATGTAAGGATAAAGTGAAAATGAACCACATGCAAACAAGGAGACTAAATTAAAAGAAATACCTGAAGAACTATTGCTGCAGATTTTTTGGAGAGGTAATCTTCCCTTGCTTGTGAAACTAATTTCCACATTCTCCAATGCTTTTGAATAATTATTGCAGATGACCGTACCAATTTAAACTGATTGTGCTGTTTTCTTGCTAACACTAGTGAGCGCCACCACACCTGAATAGTAACAGCTGCTTTGCGAGTTGATTGGAAAGCTTGCATTTGCTGCCTCATAGCCTGAAGAGCCCTCCAGCGCCTTTGCACTGTGATGACAGCATGACGAAGCACTTGAAATTTAGTGCGTTCCGAAATCATAGCACACTTTGCACGCCAAATGCACTGAACAGTTAAAGCTGTTTTCTGGAGCTCAAGGTACCTGAGTAAAAAACAATACATCAGTCAAGTTGAAGAACACTTTCTGTTGAAAAGTGTTTGGATTTATTTCTTACTTATGTCGCTGCTCTTTCATAAGCTTGTCAGCTCGGAACCTTCTTTGGATGACAATGGCAGCCTTACGGATTTGGTGGAAACGGTTTCGCTCCCGTCTCATCTCCAGCAGTCCCCTGTACCTGGACTGCAGCACGCACGCCGCTCGCCGCAAGGAGATGAATCGGGCAAGCTGGAGTGCCATCGCCATTCGGGCCCGCCAACGCCTCTGGACAGTCACGGCTGCTTTCTTCAAGTCCAAGAACCTGAAACATTAAGTAAATTGAAATTTGGTAGCCTGGATACAAATGAGAAGCAGTGATCGATCTAAAAAAATTTATAAGACTACGTGGCACTATTAAATTGCATGTGTTGATCCCTCACCTTTGGCGTTGCTGCTGCGTCTCCTTGAGCGCCCGGTGGCGGGCCTGCACGAAGAGCGCGGCCGAGCGTAGGCGCTGGAAGTCATTCCTGGCTTGCTTCATGGCGAGGCGGGCACGGTACCGCCGCTGCAGCACGATGGCCGCGCAACGCAGCGCCGAGTACTCCTGGCGCGGGGCCTTCATGGCGAGGTGGGCGCGGTAGCGCCGCTGCAGCACGAGGGCCGCACTGCGCAGGGTCGTGAAGTCCCGACGGGGGGCCTTCATGGCGAGGCGGGCGCGGAACTGTTGCTGCAGCACGACGGCCGCGCGGCGGAGGGCCGTGTAGTCCTGGCGGGGCAGCTTCATGGCGAGGCGGGCACGGTAGCGGCGTTGCAGCACGACGGCGGCGGCACGCATCGCCGTGTACTCCTGGCGGGGGGCCTTCATGGCCAGCACGGCGCGCCACCAGCGCTGGATGACAGTGGCAGCACCCTGGCGGCGCGCACACTTGAGGTCGCGGAGGGCGGCGCGGGCGCGCACCCGGCGCTGGACAACCAGGGCGGCAGCGCGGAGCCGCAGGAAGCGGGCGCGCTCCTGTCTGCCGGCCAGCCAGGCCCTGACGGCAGGCTGCAGGACTCGGGCGGCACGTCGCTGGAAGAGGAACTCGATGCGGAGGTGCCTGGTGAGCTGGCGGCCGCGCCAGCGTTGCTGCAGCAGGCACGTGGCGTCGCGGACTTGCAGGAAGCGGCGGCGGTCGCGGCGCGCGCGGTACCAGGCCTGTATGGTGACGGCGGCGCGGCGCTGCTTCAGGAAGGCGGCGCGCTCGGCCTCCATGGCGCGGCGTGCTCTCCAGCGGCGCTGCACCGCCAGGACGGCGCCAACAAGCTCCAGGAAGCGCTGCCGCTGCGCCTTCATGGCACGCTGTGCCCTCCAGCGACGCTGGACAGCCACCGCGGCGGCGCGCAGCGCGACGAAGTGGGCCCTGTCGCGACGCATGGCCATCCACGCCCTCACGGAGGACTGCAGGCGGCGGCACGCCTCCAAGCGCTGGCGACGTTCGAGCAGCCAGACCCGGGCCAAGTCCACGGCCGCGAGCAGGCGGCGGGCAGTGCGCCGTCGCCGGAACCAGGTCTGGATGCGCAGGGCGGCGGCCATCCGGCGGAGCTCCGTGAACCTCTTGCGCGTCAAGACGCCCTTCCAGTGGGCCTGCAGCTTGACTGCGGCGGCGCGGCGCTGCAGGAAGTCCTGGCGGAGGCGGCGGGTCTCCACGGCGCCGCGGTACCACCGGGCGATGGACGTGGCGGCGTGGCGGGCGCGAGCCAGCGCGGCCTCGGCGGCGTGGCGCCTCCAGTGCTTCTGCAGGACGACGGCGGCGTGCTGGCGGGCGGCCTCTTCCCGGGCGCGCTGCTCCCGGACCAAGGCGACGCGTCGGCGAGCCAGCACGACGCGCCACGCGGACTGCAGCACCACGGCGGCGGCCTCGCGACGGGCGCGCTTGCGAGCGCGGATGCGGGACTCGATGTGCCTCTTGAGGGCGGTGCTGCGCCACCAGCGCTGCAGCACTTCGGCGGCGGCAGTGAAGCGCGGCGCCTGGAACTTGTAGATGATCTGCCAGAGCAGCGACAAGGTCTTCTCGCGGTGGCCGTCCGCAATGTCTTTGGCTTGGATGCCGCCGCACAGAGCGTAGCCCGCCTCCTTCAGGGCGTTCAGGGCCAGCTCCACGTTGTGCAGCTTCTGCAGGCGCGAGATGGCCGGCACTCGCAGCTTGCCGTGCAGGTTGTTGGTCTTGGTGATGAGCTCCATGACGCGCACCAGGCGCACGCCGTCGCGGAGGTCCAGGAGGCCCTTGACGGCGTACTCGAACTCGTCGAGGAACGTCTGCTTGACGGTGAGCTTGCAGTCGAAGGCCGCCAAGTAGCGGTTGATGTCGCCCATGCCGGAGAGCAGGTCTCGCGCGAAGGCCGACACGATCTCTCTGCTCTCCTTGTACGTCGACGACCGGGCGAAGAGGCAGGGGTCGTGGCCAATCAGCTTGGCGGTCTTGGCGCGGTCCAGGAAGAAGACGAGAAACAGAAACTTCTTGAGGGTGAACTTCTTCATCTCCTCCTGGAAGCCGGGCAGCTTGAGGTGTGGCACGGTGGGGTGCGAGAAGGTGGCCAGGATGCCGTCGTCACTCAGGAGGTTGTGGACGAGGAACGCCGTGAGACCGACGTAGTCAGAGTTGTTCTTGAGTGGCACTGTGCGTCCGTACACTGCCTCCAGCCCAATGCGCAGCCACAGAGGGTTGTAGCTCAGCAGCAGCTCTAGCACCAGCTGCTGCAGGCCTACATCAATGTGCAAGTCTCGGTCCTCTCTCACCAACAGAATCTTCTGATCCACTTTGACTGAAATTTTTTGAAGGACACTTGCAACTTCTTTAGACCGGATGAGGCCCATTGCTGATTTCCTTAATGAATTGAGTCGAGAGTTTTCACCATAAAGGTCTGAAGAGACTGTTTCACGAGATGGGGCCAGGCTATTATCCTTCAGTCTGCAAGTCTTCTGCCATAAGTCACCAATATCAATGCTGGGTAAATCAGTGGTTTCCAGTTCAGTAGGTGGTGTCAGCAAAGCATTGAGCCACCTGATCATGTCACTTTCCTGTCGTGCAATCCATGCACTGTCATTAAAAATTGCTCTATTAAGGAACGGGTCAGAAGTCGTGGAAGCTGCGAAAGGATCTACGTTTGTGACCTCAGCTAAAATATCATCAAGACAATGCAATGGTTCAGACTTTTCTGCCATCCTCTGAGCAAGCCTTCTAGAACCTCTTGGAATTTTGAACACAGATACATCTTGTTTTGAAGTGTTGGAAACTGAGAGACGTGCGTCTGGAAGTCTCGAAGTCCTGGATAGAGAGAGACGTGAATCTGAGGGTCTGGGAGCCCTAGAAAGAGAGAGACGAGCTTCTGGAAGTCGGTCTGTCAAGGATGGTTTAGGATCTGAGTTTTCTTCCTTGAGGCTGCTCGCCCTTTTTCCAGTGGAGCAAGGAAGTGCACCGTTGATGGTTTGTCTCCTTGGCAATACCGACCTGGAAACCTTGGTGGTTTTGGCAAGCGCTGAGCACGAACTCTTCAGAGTGGGTGAGACACGGATTAATTTTCGTTTTGGTGATGAAGTCCTTTTTGGCCTGGCTCCTGTTTTTGATCTGCCAGGTGATGGCGATGAAATCAAATTTACAGAGCCTTTTCTCTCTTTCGGATCAGGAAACTCCACAGTAAAGGCAGTACTCTTCAATTTGCTGCTGCGAACATCCCTTCCATTGAGATTGGAGGTGGTATCTTCTTCCTGGATAGACAGTAATGCTGACCTAGTATGGCGGTGATGTTCATCTAATCTAGGGGAGTGAGGAACACTTGAGCCATTATCTAGATGAGCAGATTCATGAAGAAAGACACTGTCATTAGAATCATTATGAGCACCTACAGAGCCTCTTGAGTTCTGCTCTTTGACATAGGTTTCTGTGCTGAGCCTATCCTTCACATAAGTACTTGTGCTCAGTCGATCTTTTACATAGGTATCAGTGCTAAGACGATCATTGGAGCAATTGTCATTCATTTCTGGGATGCCTCCGCTGATGCATTCAAAAGGTTCAGAAACGTTTAATTGAAGAGCGGCACAATCTGCAGGATTGGCAGTTTGAGGGCTTGACATGAGATCAAATAAATCCTTGCGGACATTCAGATTCGCCCCACTCGACGCCACTGGGGTCACCACCTTCACACCTGTTGAACAGCGGCGTGGATCTTCAGAAGGAAGTGGAAGGTCAAACTTCAATGTGGAGTCCATAAAAGAGTCTGAAACCTCAGGTACAACTGGAGCCAGCTGATGAGTAATGTTTGAGATTTCTATTCGAGGAATTTCCTTAAATGTAGGTTTCTTTGGTGATGGCTGCAAAAATTCAGCCTCCACTTGAGCTTCTTCAAGACTATCTTCGAATTCATCTTCTTCTTGCACATAGGTTTCAGCTAAGTGCTCTTTCTTGTTTCCAAATTGGATTAAATGATTAGCAACCTCAAATGTTTCTCTGCGTATGGCAGATGAGGTATTAGAAGTCTTTTTAAATTCTTCATGAACGGTGACCAATACTTTAGGTGGCATAGCGCATCCGTCCACAAAATCATGGCCAGGCCTGGGTGGAGCTACTGAAGGGAGCACAACTGGAGACATGACAAAATCATCAAGAGCACTGCTTTTCAGTTGATTCACATTTGAGTTAGTATTTAAAGGAGATAAAACGAAATCTTCAAATCTTCTGGAGATGTCATGCTTATTCTTCAGTACTATGTTCCTTGAGTTGGTTTCCTTAGCACATTCAGGAGAATTTTCTTTGTTTTCAGGGTTGACAAGGAAAGTCTGGCGTCGGCAAGGAGAAGATGTCACACTGGAAGAGCGAGGAAGTGAGCGAGCAATACGGACTTGCTGCTTTACCAAACTACCTGACACAGAAGCTTGTTTTGGCGAATTCTTGATTGGCTTATTGGACTTCGCTACAGACAGCTTCTTAGCCAGCACTGTAGGTTTAGCAGGATTTTTTGGTGCCACTGGTCTTTTGACAGTCTGCAAAAAAAGATTAATAAATTATGAATTTAATTAAAATTTTTTCTTATGACAGGAAGATAAATATTTACAACCAAAGAGGCATCAACATGTCATTGGCACATACCTTTTTAGGTTGAGGGACAGTGGTGCTACAAATCAGGACAAATTCAGACCTCAACTTGGATGATGTTCGGACTGGTACACTTTCCCGCCAGCTGCCAACTTCAGTGGGAGTCCAGACGATTTCCAGAATAGCTTCCTCGTCAGCTCCCAACTCCACTTCCGTGAAACTAAACTCAAAACCTCTATCTGGAGGAGGCAGAGAGGGTAGTTCAACCTGAGTAAAGCAGGAAATAACAATGCTTACAATACACTAGTGAACAAATAATACTACAAAGGAGTAAATCGGAAATAGATAACTTTGAAACACGAAATCAAAGATTAAATTACTTACAAAAAGATTAGCCTTTGACGCATTTCTGATGATGAGCAGCTTGCTGCACTTCGACTTCAGTTTAACATTCTGGAAAGTGAGTTTGGGAACAGGCTTGAATGGGGCAAGGAACAGAACTTCAGGTTCCTCACGGTCATTCCTCGCAGGGTTCACGTGTTTTGGGGGACTAATCTAAAGGATCACAGAAAAACAAATAAGGTGTCAAAACTCTTTTAAACACATATAAAACAGTATAGGATGTCCGAAAAATTTGATCAATCAGCAGGCTGCAAATGATGTAAAGTTGATTGTTCACTTCAAGGCAAGGAAGGTTTACCTCAAACGTGGCCATGACGATTGACGCTTCACACCATTTGAGAGCGGAAACGCGGTTAAATACTCGAAGAGTCCATCGTTTCAACTCGAAGTACAAAATAGAGGAACTCGGTAACAACCCTCTACACTCATCCCCACGACCAGACTAACGGCCAAAAACGTTTGAATCGTCCATGTACGAGCACCAACATAATGGCCCAAAAAATGGAGCCATGATTCTAAAGCCACTTTATCACAAAAGCAGTTGAACGCATAACAACAAATTTTATAAATTTTAAAAATCTTTCAATCAAAACTTTTTAACACCCATCGTAAAATAAGGACCTATTTCATTGAATATATAGCCCACAAGTTTCTATTTCTGGTGTTGGCAGCAGTAACCTCAACATTACTTTGTTTCTTAGCGGCACTTTTGGACCGCGCGCCGAAGAATGAAGAGAAGAAATGTGAACTTGTTTTCCCCTCAGATATAAAATGTTTTATTGCACGCAAGTAATTTTAATTAATTTCACAATCCTGTTTTTGTAAAAGTTTGGTATGTTTAGCTGTCTACAGTGTCATGAAGTTCAAGCTTGAGAAATATTGAGTTGGGGTGGAGAAAAAAGTTTCAGAGTACCAAAATAAATAGAACATTTTATTGAACTAAATATTATCTACACAGTTGAGGAATCACATCACCACACTTAGCACTTATCTTAATTGAGGCCAGTTTGTCCCCTCGAGTTTCCCCTATATTCACAATAGCTATAGATTTATGAAGTTCAGCAGCTTGTAAGACAATTCTATATGCTGAAAAAACTGTCAATGATGTTCCAAGGACCAAAAGCCCATCACATAGTTTCACCTCATTACGTACAGCTTCAACGCGGTCTTTAGGTACATTGTCACCAAAAAATACAATGTCAGGCTTTAGTAAGCCCTTGCAAGAAGGGCAGGAAGGGACATTGAAGCCTTCCACTTGCTCCTGTACAACAGAGATCATTTCAAAAATAACTGGGATATTTCAGAAAATGTAACCACATTATATATAGAGAGAAAATTGATTGAAAGTTACCTGATTCATTTCCACGTCTCCATCAGGTCGCATTGTCTGCTGAACAATTTGCATTTCTGGGTTTAATTGGGTCAATAGATTCTGGAAAGCGTGCCTTTCAATGGTGAAAGTGCAGCCTAGGCATACAACACGAAAAGCAGAACCATGCAGCTCAATAACATTTTTCGTCTTTGCCTTAATATGCAAGCTGTCAACATTCTGAGTAACAACACTTCGGACTACACCCTCCTCATTCACCAGCTTGCTGATGCTCAAATGTGTGGCATTAGGTTCGAAAGAAGAAAACCTTGGCCAGCCCACATAGTTTCTGGCCCAATATCGTTTACGGGCACTCTCAGATTTCAGAAAATCTCGGTACTGTACAGGTCTATTGGTACTTCTTGCGTACAGGCCCACTCCTTCAGAGCGGTAGTCTGGTATGCCACTTTCGGTCGAAATTCCAGCTCCAGTCAAAACCACTAGATTCTTAGACACTGCCATCAGACGGTCCAGTTTTTCAATATCTTCTTCTTTGGCAGGCAAATGTTTGGGCACGTACGAACTACTACTCTGGTGCTGGTGTCGTCTGCCAGCGATTCTACCCATGTAATGGGACACACGAAGTGTCACATGGGAATGGCATGGTATTTCTTTCAATGGTCTAACAAACATTATTTTTGGCCACAAAACTCCAATTAATGATGCTCTAAATCGCGAAAATGGACGAACTAGACTCACACTGTGTTGTCTGCGAAAGTGACTTTAACCTCACTCATGGCTTGTATTTGATGCAGACGACCCTGCCAGACATACCAACACAAACAGTAATTTTTTCAACAAAAAACGAGATTTCGGTGTTATCACGCTAGTGTTTTTGTGGTAGTTTCTTTCATTATCTTCAATATTTTATCGAAAGTGTCTTTTTGTGTGAGTTGTGCTTTACTGTTCGAAGGTGTTCGTTGACTTTCTTAAATTTTGGTATTTTAGCGTTGGCTTTTGGCTCTGTTGCCAAGTTGAGCTGTGTTTTGTTTTGTCTGTCACTTGCGACACTGTTGTCAGACTTAACATGTCAAGTGCAGTGTTGTGGTTCGGTTGAACTGTTGTGCGTAATTTTGACATTTGTTTATCTATATACTGCTGAGTTTCATGTGCTTCAAGACAACGGCATGCTGTTCGTTACATGCTGCATGAGCTTTATGTTGCCTGCTTGGACGGAACTGTCTACTAACAATCGGAAATCACGCTACCTTTGTTTTGGCTTCTTTTGACGTTTTCTACTTGTTGTCGGGTCTTTAGACGTTTACACACCTAAAATGCGAAGTTCTGATGAATTAAAATGTTTTGTTGTGAAAAAGAATTACATGGCTGCGAAAGTTAACAGGAGGGAACATCATCAGAATTTGAGGTTAGGAACTCTTGTGTATATTGACTATGTTATCAAAGATGAGTTAGTGGCAGTTCGAATCGACAACAGTGAAAGGCTTCATGGCTCGCTTGAAGAGCACCTGTGGGAATGCCCATTGGCAAACATAGTTCCCTTCGACAACTCATTGAAACCATTCATTTTGGCCATATCCTCTCCAACTGAAAGAGTTGAGGTTGCTCAGAATGAAGATCTATGCCAGAAGCTCATTGATATTAATGTGGGTAGTTTGGTTTACTTACTACCCAAGAAGTCACCACTTGGCGCCAATGGCCATGGAACACAGCATGTCAAGGAAGCCCTTGTGAAGTATAGAGGACCTGTCCATCAGATGGGCTTTGGAACTTACTTTGGACTTGAAATATTGGTACAGTAGACCTTTTTCTTTTTAGTTTCTTTTTAAGTTCACCTTATCATACAATTATTCGATGAATCCATGACTACTATTTTCATTGCTGCACTTTGGTGTTGTGTGAGATTGCGTAGTCTTATGCTATGCCTTGAGTTGAGTCGAGTCATATTTCAGCTTAGGCTTCTGTAGGTTTTGGCATTTTTTGCCCTCTCTGGCCAGCAATTAGTCTAAGTGATCATTGATGTGCTGTTTCATAGAATGGCAAGCTTAACGTAGACCCATAATTATTTTTGTGCTGGATACACATTTATAGTGCAAGCTGCAATTTTCTGCTAGTCAGCATATTGTATTGACCTCAATAACAAAGCCTTACTTGTAAATATATTTGTCTGAATTGGTTTTACTTCCAAAACTGATTCTTATTGATTTCCTTTACATTGCAGGATGCAGATATACAAGACCCTGACACCTGTGATGGATCTTATTCAGGATCCTCTCGGTACTTTTCCTGTCCACCTGGAAGGGGTATATTTGTTGCTATAAATAGGCTCCGTCCTTTTTCCGATTTTATTCAAAATTATGCACAGTCTGACTTTGACTCAAGTTACATTCAGGTTTGTATTTAAAATCTGCCATCTTAACAGAGAGCAGGGTTGCAGTACATAGCTTTCCATTAACTTTTTTTCCTTTACAATTTTAGTCTCCAAAGGATTATTTACCATTTCGAACATGTGGCGTTCAAGAAGTTAGAGCTAAATTTGAAAGTATGTCTCATGGGACTCAGCTGTCTCCACGTGTTGAGTACACTGAAAGGCTAATTGGTAACGTTTTGATTAATTTGTTTCTTGCATGTTAGACATTTTTTGGTTGTTATGATGAAATTTGATGCATTCTAATTTTGTATCTTAATTTTTTTTTTAAAGATTTGAGCCCTAATAGAAGTCCTGTTTTAATGGATGAACAACCTCTCAAAGTTGGAGAGAGAGTCGTGTGGTTTCGTGACTCTGGTCAAGAACATGGTGTGGTGAGGTGGCTTGGTCATTTGGATCCAATGAAAGATGAACTACATGCTGGTGTGGACTTTGTGAGTAGGAGCATGAAATTTTCTTTTTTTAATGTTACTGAGTGATTTACCGTAAGGTATTTTAATATTAATTAATTTTTCCCTTGTTTTTATCTTTTAGGACAATCCTGTTGGAAAGACAAATGGATCATACAGAGGAAAAAAGTACTTTGAAACAAAAAAAAATCATGCTGCGTTTTTACCTGTGTTGGGATTAGTAAGAGCTGATGATTTGTATGATAGTCTGTCAACCATTGGTTAGTTTTTGAAATCCTTTATATTTTCTGTGGAAATATTTTTCTGCATGCATATACCCTTGTTTTTCACTGTCACACATGTTTCTTACTTTTTTCCAGATTCTAAGAAGAAAAAGAAACCTCTTGCTAATCAATCAGAAAGTTCTAAGAATTTAGATTCACGTTTGGGTTCAGGATTATCAAGTGCATCAAGCAGTGGAGCCCTAAGACCTGACCAGCTTTATACAGCAGCCAAAAACAGCAGCCAAAATTCAATGCTTGATACTACTGATAATGTGAACTTAAATGGGTCTCTGTTGAGTCCTCTGAGCATTGAGCCTACAATCTCCTGCTTGAAGAATGAATCACATGCTCAAGGCAAAAGAGACAACTATTTAAAGGATTCTGATCTCACAAGTTATGGGAATAATTCCTCTAATTTAAAATTGGATAAGTTTAATAGTAGAGAAAATGATCAGCTGAGAATGTTGAACGATTATGTTGATGCAAATGGAAGCAAGTACAAAAACCAAACAAGGTCCCCTAAAATAAATAATGGTGATGGTGATAGTATTCGCCTAGAGTATGATCGAAAGAAGACTCAAGCATGGACAAATAGATCAAAGGAGGATTATGAATCAAGTTCTAGCCCAAGCATAAATGATCGAAGTAGCAAAGGAATTAGCTGCAAGGAACAGATTTTCCACTCTCATCAAGACTCAAATGGTAAGTTCTTCAACAATCCGCTCTCCCAAAGTCATTATACATTGATTAAAAAAAAAAAAATTCTCACAACCTTTTTTTTTTTAAGAACGGCATATTAGTTTAATAATTAAACATGTGAATCTTGGTTCCTTACAATTTCAGTTTAAAATGTCTAAGATAGTGATTCATATGTCCCCTGCCCCCTCCCCCCACCAGAGTCAGCTGCCAAGTTAAAAATAGCTCACACCGTGGCGTAGCACCGTCGGCCCTACCGGCCTGGCCGGGACGAGTCTATTCTGTGTGCATTTCCTTCTTCCTCTGTGCTGCCCTAGTTGAGCCTCATACCTGTTATTTTTCTAAAAAGTTTAAGTTTGTGGTTTTTAAAATTTTTTGATTGTTCAAATACATTGCTTGAATCTCATTCTTTCACAACTTTGCCTCTACTTTTCCACTTGTTTAATTTTGAGGAAATGAAAATGTTCAGTCTGCTGGAGGTTGGAATTCCAATTATTTCGGAGTGTTGAAGCTAAATTGTAAGCTATGGAAGTTGCATTGGAAGATATCCCTATATTTGTTTTGAACTGTGATTGGTATCGAGATGAGGAGGAATACCAATTGTGGCGTAGAGAATGTGAGGCAGAGGCAGCTTTGAAAAAGCAAAAGGAGTCCTCTCAGTACTCTTCGCTTCATTCATCATCTCAGCTCTCATTGCAACAGTCTCCATTAACACATTCGCCCATATACCGCCAGAGTGGTGGGTTTCTGTGTGCTCTAATATAGTGTTACTTTTTATACTAAATCTTTTCAGAGCATGCAGCAAAACTGTTTAAAAGAGATACATACCTGCAATCTTAAACATTTGTGGTTGTGTTGATATTGCTTTGTTTCCATTTCACCATCTTAAAAGAAAATATTCTTCACATTCAATGCTCTTCCTGATTGGGTATTATTTTTCTGCTGTTTCAAAGCATTAATACTATGACCCTTAATGTTTTGCAGATATTGACCCTGATCGCCTACTTCATCAGAGCCCAGACACCCAAAGTGTTGGTGGTGCAGAAGGTTTTTATGACACACCAGAAGCATATGACTTTCAGGACTTACAAGATGAACCTGAACAACCAGGCCCAACAGATTTAGGTGTTGGGTCTGTCGTGGAAGTGGCGGTTCACGGAGAGCCCATGTATGGAGTGATTCGTTGGCTTGGTACTTCCCCTGAAAGCAAAAGGTCTCGAAAAATAGCAGGAATAGAAATGGTATGTTGCTCTTAAACTATTGGGTCAATTATTACTACCTTAAAATGCCTTACAAATTGTTTTATTTTTCAAAACGTTACAGGAAGAGGAACGGGCAGATTTTACTGATGGAACATTTCATAACCAACGATATTTTACGTGTAACCCTCGCAGAGCATACTTTGTCAACATTAATCTTTGTCAAAAAGATGGACGGTTTCAAGAACCTTCTCAAAGTCCAAGTGATGACTCGAAAAGTAAAAGTATGTTCTCACTGCATCAGTAGATTTTTATGTCACTAACTATGAGGATAGTTCCATGGTCTGGTCTCATCCTCTTAGCTCTGAAGAATATTTTGAGTATTCAACTTTCTTATTTTCCAGCGTTTGGACAGCCGGATTGTCCAGTTATCCCAGGCATCATAAGACCAGTGGCAGTCAGTGGAGACCTTCAAAGCAAGTGTGGAAAATTACATGGTATTCAGGGCCATCATAACTCCTGCTATCTTGATGCCACACTTTTTAGCATGTTCACTTTTACCAGGTACTGAGTGGCACATAAATTTTTTTCAGTGTTCACATTTATTTTTTTCAAGTTGTGTTACTCTGTTGTGTTTCATTTAAGTTGTACTAAGTAATGATTTTTTTTTTCAGCGTGTTTGATAGCTTGCTATACAGACCTCCAACAGATAAAGACTGTGTTCAATATGAGGAAGTCCAAAGAGTACTTCGTGAAGAGATTGTAAACCCACTTCGTGCCAAACTTTTTGTCCGTGCTGATAGGGTTATGAAACTGCGAACTTTGTTAGAAAATCATACCTCTGTAACGGGCTTAACTAGTGAAGAAAAAGGTTAGTGATTCGTAACTGGAAGAATGTAAAATTTATTTAGAAATAATTTGACTGTACTATTTATTTATTCTTGTCTTAGACCCTGAAGAGTTTTTGAACTCACTCGTCGCTCAAATTTTACGAGCTGAACCATATCTGAAACTGAGCTCTGGGCAGGAGGCCTACCATTACCAACTCTTTGTTGAAAAAGATGAACAGCTTAAACTCCCATCAGTTCAGAAGCTCTTTGAGCAAAGTTTCTTTGCCAGTGATATCAAGTTAAAGGAGGTAATAAAAGCTTTTGTTTGTGGCTCATGTGATTTGATACCTAATGTTAATGTTTCAACGATCTGCACAACCTTCTATTTTCAGGTGCCCTCTTGCCTCATTATTCAAATGCCTAGGTTTGGGAAATCTTTCAAGATGTACCCTCGCATTTTACCATCACAGGTTCTTGATGTAACTGATGTCATTGAGGATTGTAAGTCAGTTTTTCTTGCCTCTCTACTGCTTTGAAAAGAATGTCTTATTTACCTACAATCCCTACAATACTTCTTGTTACAGCTCCACGGCAGTGTACAGTTTGTGGAAAACTTGCTGAATTTGAATGCAAAGATTGCATGGATTATTTTGATGTTGGCCTGGACAACATAGCATACTGTGAGGTGTGCCTCAGAACTGTGAGTATTTGGCTGCTTGAGCAGCAATCTGTTACCTTTTTGCTCTTACTTACTGTTTTTTTTTATAATCTCTTCAATCTGTTATTCATTTTCAAGGCTCACTGTCATCAAAGACGCAGTAATCATACCTGGAGACGGATCAGTGTTCCATCAGATTTCAAATCTCTGCAGGAAGCCTGTTCTACCATTCCTCGTTTGTACATGGAATTGTTTGCAGTTGTTTGTATTGAGACTTCTCATTATGTTGCATTTGTCAAATGTGGAAGTGGTTTGGATGCCCCATGGTGCTTCTTTGACTCTATGGCAGACCGAAAGGGTAGGTACAAAATAGGAATGGACTGGATACAACTCTGTAACATGTAGCCAGCACAATCTAACTAGTGTCTCTCCTTTTTCTTTACAGGAGAACAAGATGGCTATAACATTCCCGAAATGGTCCCGTGTCCAGACTTACCGTACTGGTTATCTGACAAGGGGGCTCAATCCTTAATGGATGTCAAAGACAATCGTCAACTGCCTGAACACGCCAAGAGATTACTTTGTGATGCTTATATGTGCATGTATCAGAGCTCAGATGTTATGATGTATAGATAGATAGATGTGCTGAAAGAAAGAATTAACCTTGAGAAAGGTAACCAATCTAATTTAAAGCAGGATAATTAAACCTGTCAATTGTTATAGTTCTTGTTTCTTTTTTTTATGAGCTGCGAGGTTTCCTTTGGGGACAACGCTTGAAATGTATTACTTTCTCCTATGTGATAATAAGGTAATTGCTCTTTTGGATTCTTGTGATTGTGATTCAGAAGATGAGGACCGTCTGTAGGAGTTGTGGCTGCTGAACTTAAGTCACATTATGTTGTAGAGCTTGCTCTAAATGTTAAATAATAAATAAATTCTAATATTAGAATTTCTTGAATTTTTCTTAATGTTTTATTAATTTATTCTATCTTAGCAGGATGTTTTCTCCTATTTTGGTAGTTTTTATTTGACTTTATTTAATCAAGTATTATCGTGAATGAATGTGTCCCTTGTTTTCTGGTTCGATAAAAAACGACCACTGAATGAATGTTGGGTTTTATTTGTGTTCAGAAGTGGAAAAATATTTATAGTTTGTCTTGGTGAGTTTGATGTTCTTATACTGACTATTTAAAATGGTAGAAAACATTCTGTTATTCCAACTCTTGAGAGTTGGAGAAATTGTTTCATACTTCATGAAAAAACAACCAAATTTGTTATTGCTTTATACTTTTGAGAAAGCTCGATGTAACTTTAGGGCTAAAAATACATAAAGGAATGTCATTTCTTTTTAATCAGGACTACAGGGATTGTTTCTAAGTTAAGAAAGAGATATGTATTGTTATTGAAAACATATTTTATTCTGGGTTGTTCCCTTCTTTTTTCAATAGTAGTTAAGAATTAAACAGGGACAAGACAAGTCTTACATCTAGTACAATGTTGAAAGGGTGCCAGGGAGTTTTTGACCAGCCTTTAGAGAGACGCCTTCTCCTACAACACATTGTAGAAAAATAGCTGTTGCAAATATTCATCCTAAATCACTGTAGAATTTGCTCTAGATTTGAAATCGGTTTGATTCCCTCCAAATTTTCATTGTTCTTGGATAGCTTCCTCACAATTGTGCATATCTACTTTGCTGTTAGCCTTTTGCAACCTTTGGCATTCTCCCTTTACTGGATGTAAGGTAAATAAGACTGGTAGCATGTATGAGGGCGGACACATGAACTTATTTTTATTTGTCCATAATTAATATATACTTTTTGAATCACTTGTGAAATGATTTTGTTTTACCTTATGTTTGCCCATATTTATCTTTTCTTCTTTCAGTTTTTGACTGTGTGAAGGGAACAATACTGTGCAACTGAACTCTTACACTGTTTTGCAAAGTAATATTTTTTTTCCTGTTATCTTACTTTGTGTTGGTACTCTCTAAAAATATAATTCAATGACACATTCAGATAAGATTTCTGTTGAAATAAACACATGAGTAATGTCTCAGTAGTCTTCTGATCTGTATGTGTCATAATTCCGATTACTCTGTGCATTTTATGATGTGACCCCCTGTATGTAATAGCCCGATGTATTGGTTTCCTTGACATGATTAGCTTTGCACATTTCCCCCTTTTTACTTACAGATATAGTTGTATTTCCAAAACCGTATCCTAATGTCAAAATGTAACATCCTATTTTGTTGGTGAGAATAAAGTCTTACCTGTAACTCACAGAAGCCACCTTGTCTAATGTCAATCTAATCAACCCCCTCTTCATCTCCTCCCGGAAAAGCGGTGCCTCTGGTTTTCTCCGGTTGAAATCTGCAGCAGGGAATGACCACGACGGCCGTGGCCCATGAGGGCTTCCAGGCTTTATTTACACTCAACCACGAACCGGAAGTGATGAGACGAACCTCCAAACGCCTCTGCAAATGGGCGTGGCTGGCCGGTCCGGGGTGTATTGGCTTCCGAGTGGCGGACGAAAGCGGCAAGGAAATTATATCTTATCAGAGCAGCAAGGTGCCGCCCCGTCTATGTAGTCACACACACACAGCGGCAGCGGCGCTAAGGTGAAGGGAACTGGCGATGGGTGCAGCTCACATGCCGCGCAGTGCGCACGCCGAGCGGGATCGCGACAAGCCATCGGCGTCACCGGGGCGCCCTGCAGCAAGCCAAGCCCTGCAGCCACCACCAGGTACTCGTTGTCCTGCAACGGCGTCCGGCACCAGGGACGACATGGCTCGGGCGAACACGCGCTGTTGACGGGTACGCTAATGCCGCGCCGTATCTCGACGGACACACTATCAGGCAGCGACGGTACCGTAGTCTCACCCATTCTGCGCTTGGCGCGCTCTGGCTGGGGGGCGACGACGCGGTCCTCGGCCAGAGGCTGCCAGGGGCCAGGACGTGGCCCTGCTCACGTCCCTGCCGAGCCGAGCCACGGTCAAGGATCGCAGCAGCAGGGTGGTGGCGGGGCGGGCAGGGCGTGTGTAATCGAGTCTGCGGCGGCGGCGGCGACAGGCAGTGCAGGCAGATTACGCGGCGCGCGCCGCGCCGGTCCTCCAGTCAGACTCCGCGCCTTGTCCGCGCCGTCCACAAGCCCGACTGCGAGTCCGCGAGTTCGCCAGTCAGCGCCTTGGAGCGTGGCGAGCGTGGGCGTCGAGCGCAGCGCGTGGCTGGAGCTGGCGGAGCCTGGATTCCAGTGTGCCAGTGGTGGCCCGCGACGCGTGCACGCAAAGCAGGCTGCCGACTGCCCCTGTCCCAAGCCGCGACGGAAGTAAACAGCAGAAGCCCGGACTTCCCTCCGAGTAGCAAGCAGGTAGTTGTCGGGCCACTTCCCTTGGAACGCGAAACGCGCTGCACAGTGGGGCTCAAAACGCGTCTGGAGTTGCGGCCGCGGTCATTGCTACCGTCACGATGCGTTCCGTTCGAAAACGAGGGAGGGTGGCAGCGGGTTGACGGCCGGCCCCTCGGCGCCAGACAGTGCAGACGGCCAGACTGCCAGACGGGCAATGAGGTATCGCCGCTGATATGATTGGCAGAGCAGCCAGAGCCCAGGGCGGCCTTCCCGCGCAGAGCACGTACGTGACTCCGAGCATTGCCACCAACAGACTCATTCCGCACATCGCTGTCGTCGCCGCTCCGTCTCTCTCGCACTCACAGGCGCGACATACGAAACGCTGAGCCGAATCAGTCTACAGACGCAAAATCCGTGGCGCGTGTCAGACGGACTCCAAAGTTGGCAAGACGGGGCCAGAGGCATTGTACGCGCACGCACGCACTCACACACCTACGAACCCACGTGCGCCGCGCATCTCGGAGCGGCTTTAAGTTGTAACCGACTCGATTTGACGTAAGTTACGGCGTGGCGTGTCTTGGCCCGCGGCCAGCGGCCAGCCCGGCCTGGAGGGGCCGAGAGACACCGCGGACAGGCAGGGGAATCCAGGCGCGTGTAAAGTAGCCTAATTGGTCAGTGCGTGCTTAGCTTGTGCTTCAAAGAGAGGATCTCTCGACCGAGGGTCGCCCACCGGCCCCTTACGGTGGCGGGGTAGGCCGTCCCGTCGAACCGGCTGCGTGCGGGACTGCCTACCCGCCAGGCGCCATGGCCGCTTCAATGCGTTTGCGGAAATAACCTTGGCCGAGGCCGTGGCTGCGGCTCCCCCCGTACAGCACGGCCGCCGTCATGGCCAAGTTCAGCGCGGCCGTCCCTGCCATGGCCCTGCCACGGCCCTGCCCTTCCTCCAGAGCAAAAAGCGCGTGCCGAGAGAGCGTTCCGCGTTGACGCGTCGACCTTTTTGTCCTTACTCCTCTTGTTTCTTGCCAAAAAAAAATGCGGCCAGTCATGCGTGCGCGCCGCGTGCCTCGTTTTCCCATCGAGTGCACCTCCGACATTGACTCCGGCGTCCAAGGCCTCCTCCAGGACCGCGTCCCAGTCCAGGACACGGTGCTGCGCACGGCATGGCGCGCCCTGGACACGGCGACGCGGCACCTGGAAGTCTGCGTCTGGAATAATGGCCAACTCATCCACTTCCAGGTTCCTGCAGGTGCCTCCAGGTGTCGCCGATGCTCTTGCTTTTATTGCTCATCCCGTGTGTTCCCTTTTTGCCAGGCGGTGCGGCGCGCGGATCCGGCTCGGCCTGGAGCGCGGCCTGGAGTCCGGCAGGACGGCGACGGCGCCACCGAGGCCGCCACACCACGCGCAGCAGCACCGCGCTCAGGTGCGTTGCGTTCCATCGCCGGCCAGCTAGCAGTGTGACTGCAGCCCGAACCCCAAGGGGAACTTGCTGTTAAGTTTGCCCGGCAGTTGGCAGCACGATGAAGACCGCGTGAGGTCCGCGCCCGACTGCCCGACCACGGCGACGACATGGCGGGGAGGCTGCTGCCCTTGCTGCTGCCCCTGCTGCTGGCGGTGCGGCCGGCGCAGGCCTCGTTCAACCTGACGTGGGGCGAGCTGAGGGAGGCGACGGGCACGCTGCACGCGCCCCGCGGCCCCGGCGCCAGCCTGGACGACCTGGTGCCCGCGTGCGGCGACTGGCACAGCCCCTACTCGCAGCGCAGGCCCAACGAGCCGTCGCTCTGCATCACGCACCCCAACGTGAGTGTCTCCGTGGCCGAGGTCGTATAGACGCGACATCCCCGACACTGTGGGCCGGCGTTCGAATCCCGCAACCAGTTTCCCCCGTCACAAGTTCTTCGTGTTTGCAGTGCACGCGTGCGTCATGCCACCTGCTGTTCGAGCTGGACGAGGCGGTTACCGACCGGCCCACCACCATCTCGCCACCGCTCTACAGCGACAAGCCCAGCCAGTCCGCAGGTAACGGGGCCAGTTGGCAACCCTAGCGCCGGGGAAGTCCCAGGGAATTCCCCAAGGCTCCCCGACGCTGGCCTGCAGAGCAGAGACGTGTGTGTTGGCAGTGTGGGGCTGGGGCATGCTGTCCGTGGGCATCATCTCGCTGTCGGGCATCTTCGGCGGCCTGCTCTGGCCGGTCCTCAACAGCCGCTACTACTCCACCGTCATGAGGTTCTTGATCGGCCTGGCCGCCGGCTCGCTCACCGCCACCTCCATCTTCCAGCTCATCCCCGAGGTACGCTTTCTCATCCACCTTCGAATGCTCAAATGGGCGCCGTTTGTTGACTGTTTTTGTTTTCCCAGAGTCTGAACATGACGCAGCCCGGCAGCCAGAGCCACCTGGACACGGGGCTCATCATGCTGACCAGCATCTGGCTGCTGTACTTCGGCGAGACGGCCTGCAAGATCTTCTTCAGCCACGATAAGGCTCCCGTGAGTGCGCCTCTCTGAACGATCTACCCTCTCTCTCTCACGCGCGCAATCAAAGTGTGTCACTTGTGCCGTTTCCGGAGCGAATGGCCAGTCGGCGCCCCACTAAAGCCTCTTTTCATTCCCAAGGATGCAGTTGCAGGGATGGAGAAGGGGACGGTGGCGTTGAAGGACATGTCCAACAACCACGTCGACGGCCACCTCCACCTCCCCGAGGCGGACGGCCTGCTGCCCACCCCCGCCGAGGCCAAGAAGAAGGTAAGGCCTTGGCTCGGCTCGCCACGCGCCATGCGACGCCGCCGATGCGTTTGTTTACTTTGCGACCGGACCTGAGGGCAGAAAGGAATACCGGAGTCGCGTGGGATCTGCATGATCTGCCTCCGCATGTGGGAGGGAACCGGCATGGCGGCGTGGCGGCCTGGCCCGGTTTGCAGATGAGTCCGTCCCGGACTAGTCTCAGCAGTCTCAGTCTCACGGCCTTGCGCGCATTGCGCGCCTTGCGTCCATCTTCCGCAGTGTAGCAGCGCGGCCGCACAGACAAAGGCTCGATCGAAAACAAACTCCCTGGCCGGTCTGCGCGGGCCTTCGCGCACGCCGCGGAGTTAAAAGATCGGCCGGTATTACGGCGACAGTGTGACACGACTCCGGATCCAAATCCCAGATAAGATAAGCGGCCACGTTCTGTGGGCTGCCGTGCTGCCGTCAGGTAGACCGTCAGGTTGGCAAGGCCGGCTGCTGAGCCGGCCCGTCCGAAATAACTTGCACTTGGCCTTGTGCGCCCCAATAGGGCACGGGGCGTCGCAAACGCTCATCTACGGGCCACAGAAAGCGAGAGAGACGGAGCGACGCACGGCTCGAGGCCCCTGCGGTGGAGAGGGTAGGCCGACCCGGACGACGCGGTGGTCGCGCGGCGGGGCCTATCCTCCCCACGGCAGGGGCGCTGGACTGATTCCGCGAGCGGCCTCTCTCTCTCCCTCTTCAACCGGGGGATGCCCTGTACACACGCGAGAGAGTGAGAGGAGGACTTCCCTGACTGGACTCGCTTTGCAGGCGTCGCACGGCCACTCGCACGGCGACGGCGGCAGCGGCCTGGCCGCCGTGGCCTGGATGGTGGTGCTGGGCGACGGCCTGCACAACTTCGTGGACGGCATGAGCATCGGCGCGGGCTACACGCAGAGCATCGGCACCGGCGTCTCCATCAGCCTGGCCATCGCCTGCGAGGAGTTCCCCCACGAACTGGGTGGGTTGGGTCTTTCGCCGGTCTCTGTCGCACTCATGGGGCTGCCAGGCGTCCCCTGGGGGTGCGAGACCGGTCCTTCAGCATTTCGACCGCCGCTGTTGCCTAACGTGCTTGGTGCTTCACAGGGGACTTCGCCATCCTCATCAACTCGGGCGTGTCGTTCCGACGCGCGCTCGCGCTCAACTTCGGCTCGGCCTGCACGGCGTTCGGCGGGCTGGTGCTGGGCGTGGTGCTCGGCGAGGTGCAGTACTCGTACCTCATCTTCGCCTTCGCGGGCGGCCTCTTCCTCTACATCGCTCTGGGCAGCCTGGTAAGTCTCTTTCTCGAACCCCTTGAGTGCGAGACAGACGGCGACGGCAGCGCATGGCAGTAAAAGACTTGCTTTGTTTCAGACTCCCGAGCTGAAGACCATGGTCGACGAGGAGCTCGAGTCCAAAGGGCGCTCGTCCGCCGCCCTGGCCCTGAGCTTGCAGCTACTCGGGGTCGGGTTCGGTGCCACGGCACTGTACCTCATTACAAGGTGTGTTGGGGCCGCAGGACCTTTGACAGAAGTGGGCTGTCGAAAAAAGATTGAGTCTAACAGCATCAATGATTCATAATTATATTTTTCAGGTACAACGACAGCATACGTGTATGATACACATACAATTACCAGCAACTTTTTTTATTTTTTATGTTAAAATATTTGTAAATAAAAATAACTGTAATTTTAGAAGCATGCTGTGAGCCCTTTCCTTATATCCTTGCGGAGGGGAGAATTTAACTGGCGGAAACTGGCGTAAATTTGCCAGGCACTTTGAAAGTCCAGGGAAGGACCACAAAAAATTCCATTGGATCATGAAAGTTTGTTAAATCCGTACACTTGCCACAATTTTCTCTCAACATAGAGCATAAAACACCCGAGTTTTCAAATACTGCGCCATCACCGGTCTCCCATATTTGAAATTAAAAATGCGGAAACGCCGCTACGTTCCAATTTTCCCGCTGTCTGTTCTGCTAGATTTCTCATATCGTAACGGCAGTCGTTTGTCTGCTGTCTGCTACCCAGCTGATGGAAACCAAAACCTTCATTCAACATTGACTTGTGCAGCCAAAACACCTAAGTTTATCAGAGGAACGGTCCCAGTGGTTGGGATCTTGCCACCATGGCCACAAATCGAGGTCTTGTTGCTTTAGGCAACTCTTGGAGGCTTTCACGCAGCGTCGGCGACGTTTCCAAGTTCAACAAAACTCTGATACGCTGCGCGTCTTCTAACCTCCCTTCTGACAAAGTTACACACACTGGACAAGTAAGCCTTTGTTTTCTTAAAATCGTCTCATTACTTTAAATTTTCTCTTAAAATTTTAGCTTTTTTGTGTCAGTACTTATTTGTCTGTCCAGCGTCTCTATGGCAATCATTAAACTGCATTCAGTGCCCTCTGTATATTACGGAGGCCATCTCATTTTCTTATCATTGAACCCTTTAAATTGATTTCCTCCAAGTTGCTTTGAGTGATATTTTGTTTAGCAGCCTTAAGCACTTCCCTCTTGTGATAATCTCTCAACCCAAAATTCCTTTCTCTCTTCAGCATGGGAAGAGGACGACTACAGGATGGCGCGCTTTGTTGGCAAAACCAAATTAGTAAATGAGAATTGGGCTGCTAAGCTCATCGACAGTGTTCCTCCAGAGAACAGGAAGGAGCGTGTTGTGTCTTGTGATGGTGGCGGCGGCCCAACTGGCCACCCTAAAGTCTACATCAATCTGGTATGTTATGTTACTTGAACTTAGCTGTACTCAAATGGAAAGGCCAGTACCGTTAGTTTTGAAACCACCTGTTCTTTTTCAGGATAAGCCAGGAAATCACGCCTGCTTATACTGCGGCCTTCGTTTCCACAAGGAAGACAGTCACCACTAATACCTATGTTGTTTTTAGATTTTTAAATAGAAAATGTTATTTGAAAGTAATCTATCCGATTGTGAACTCTTCTGGTTAAATAAATTTCTCAACTGATACTTCCATTATTTTTATTGGTAAAAAAAAAAGAAAACGACCAAATGAGAATGATTTTTATACATGCATTGAATCTAGATAATAGATAGACTGGAACTGTGGACACTTAATCCAATTGATCATTTCCATTACACTATTATATACAAATTAAACTGGTACTTTTGGACATATTTAGTTGAAAAATAAAAAAAATAAAGGAATTAAATAATAGACAAAAATCAACTGATTGTTGAGGAGAAAAGTAGAGATGGGGGAGAGGCTTTTAAAACATGGTCCTATAACTTTTTCGGCTTGTTTGGTCTTCCAGCTCCGCCACCCAATCCACCACCTCTCCCCAGGGGGCCTTGTCGTCCACCGCGTCCACCACCAAAAGCTCCTAAAATAGAGAAAAATAAACAAATGTTATGCTACATTGAAGGGTAAGGGAATGTTTGTTAGCTATCATTTGAACAACAAATATAGTAGTACCTCTGGCACCACCTCTGCCTCTCTGGCCTGGACCACCACGGCCTCCCTTCATCTCTCCCCGACCTCGTGACTTTTGCATCACTTCTTCTTTAACCATATCAATAACTTCATCAGGTATTCTCAGGTATTTAATTGTGCTACCACGAATATAACATTCAGGCATCCTCCAAAATTTGTCACCATCCTATAGGAGGGAATGAAAAACATCGACATTAAATACGACATTCATAGTCAGTCTGAAATGAAAGAACAATTGAATTTCATACCCTTGATGTGCAGATTACTTCACGTAAATTAATATTCATCCAGTTGTCACAGCTGACTAAGTGGCCGTTATAAGTTTCTCCATTCTTCAATTCAACTAGCTAAACCAAAATCGACCAAGGATATATTAGGACACAGCATGGATAACAAACCTAAAACTACTTTGACAGGTGTACTTACCATAGGGTGATTTTGAGCTGTTCTTAGTAGAGATAATGGCAACTGTAAAAATGATAAACAAAATTACGGAAGGTAAAAGGTTGCAGTTGTTGTCATCCCGCCAAACTAATTTAGGTCTGTAAATCTAACAAGGATACTTTCATCTAATGAAAAAATGTAATGAACCATAACAGTTGCAATGGCAAATTTGAATTAAGAGGCATAGTTCATGAGGATTCTTCATTCAAACTTTGCTTTGCTACGATTGAGGTTTACGCAGGTTATGTCACCTGGTTAAACGCCAACGTAAACAGAAAGGGCCAAGTCATTACCATTTTCGAGGTTTGCTGATTGTCTTAAGACTGAAACCTTTGCACCTTGAGAGATGAATGATAAAGATATCACAATAATTTTAAGCACAACGCCGGTAATTCGTACAAAACGGAACAACCGAGGAGTCACTGCCGGTGAAATGACGCGAAACGTTCTCTCTCTTCACTCGCGTCGTCTGCTGTGTTGACGTACGCGCGCGCGCGCGCCGGGTCACCCAAACAAACATGCATGCATACATGCATACGGCCTTGGCTAAAGTTGTCCAATCAAGTACCATTTCGGTTGTTCAACAGTGAGGACATTGAAATAGCTCTGGTCTGTTGCTCATGGATAAACTTTTCTCCCAGCGTAGCACCACTGGACTGACAAAATATGGTTTGAATGGTGTGAAGATACAAATGGACCACCTTTGCGAGAAACGTGTCTTGCTTTGTGATGGTAGGAATGTGGATAGTACTGTACATTCCATGGAATTAAAAATGCAATAAAGACTTCACCACAAAAGGCATTTTCTGTTTTGTAATCACCATTTATTCAAATATCACTACACCCAACAACTCACAATCCATCCACATGAGAACCCCACCAATGTACAACTTGTACACAATAAAAAATTAAAGTAATTCTGTAGCCAGCACAGACACATTGCTGACACACCAAGACAAGCAGTAAAATAATTTAGGCTCACAGACACTGCCTGAGATGAGATTTGACTTCATATTAACAATCCATAAATCTATATTTATAATACAGTTAACAACAATTATGACTAGAATAAAATAGTAAACCTGTGCACTCATTTAAATATAAATGAACAGCCACAAGCAAAAATAATCCTCTCATATCTGAGTATCTTTTCTTTTACCCACTATTTCTTAACAAATAGATAGCTCATTTGCCTTGAAGAGAGAGAGAAAAATAACTACTTCTGTTGTGGATTAGATTTTGGTTTCAGATCTAAAAACAAAGCAAAGAATAGCTTCACAGACTTATGACAATTCCTAGGAGTCCTTTCTAATCCAAGAAATTCTAAGAAGTTCATAAGTTTTGTGCAAAAGCAGCATTTCCTTTGGATCACATTACAGTGTTTATCAAAATTAAGGTCACAGACAGAGAGTAGCTTTTCATAAACTTTTAAAAACTTGAAAATCAATTTTTCAAAACAGGACTCTTGATTCAGATAAACACCATTTATGAATTGAAATCTTGTTAAAAGTGTCGTGCGATTGAGCTTAAATACATAGATAATCTACAGCATGTGTTTCAAGAGAGTTCCATTAAATTTGAATTTTCTATTCACATTCACACATAAACTAAACCAAAATACTGTCCAATTGATAGCTTGTTCAAGCTAAAATGCACTGTACATCTGCAGTCATATTTTAATTGAAGCTGACTTCACTGAAATTGATCATTTGTGTATGAAACCCAAAGGCTTTATATAATAATAAAATGACCAAATGAATGCGGCATGTGGAAAATACAAGAACATTAAGAACTCATTGAGCGATACTGACTCACTATCAGCACTTGGATGGATAGATGGATGAGATGACATAGGTACTAATACCTTCCAAATATAGCACAGGGCTACTAACAACAAATTAATGGCATGAACAACAAAGAAACCATAAACAAGTGGTAAATGCACCCAGCAACACAATAAATTTTTGGAATTGAACATTCTCACACATGAAGAGCAGAACTTGGTAGCTAGTGAGTAATGTTAAAATCTCCTAATCTACGCGTCTAGGAGCTAAAATAATCAAACTATCATCTGGATTTGTAATACATTTACAAATGGCGCAAACTCTTACCCTCTCTTGCTTAAAATATATAAATTCAGGCACAGCCACAGGTCCAGTTTAACTTTGCTTCTACAATGCATATTTTCTTGGAAAACTCTAGTATGTTACACTGACACATTAACATCAGAAGGATCAGTAAAGGTCACTGCAACATGAGCTCAACCAAAATTTTGTTTCCAAAATGAACAAGTGCGTATGCCAAAATTAAGAACATCAACCAACTAAAATATGGCATAAGAGAATTACAAACTCCTCAGTGAACTGCAACTCCTTTATTGCTTTGACTTAAGTCAGGAATTTTTCATTCCATCATAAATTTTCAATCATTAGCAGGCTGAGCTGTGGACAGTTAATTTGTCTAATAGATCTAGATCACACACTTAGGATTTAACAATATCAAAGAACAGCACACTGAAGACTATGCAGGAATGATTGGTAAGGTATTTCCATACTAATTGTAGAAAATGCAGTAGTAGAGCCCCTCTCACTAATAAACAGTCACATAAATTAAATAAATCGAAGCGTTTTGTAATGCAAACATGGATTTCAGTTTTGTTAGTACCTTTGTAATAACTGACTATTTTAGGAACTTGGAAGTAGCTTGGGTGTCTGAAATGCTTTACAGAAACACCACATGTTTGTTCACAAGAAAAGTCAAAATATGAGCTTTGGTGATCCTGTCTCTGCTGAACAGTTTAAACTGACAGAGGACATCTAAGCTAGAAACTGGGATTGCATTGCACCTGTCTTTCATGTCCAACTTCTTGAGGATAAATTATACAAGTCCTGCACATGACTAGGAAGAGTGGCACAAGAAAGGTAGATGAGAATAATCATAAGAAATGAGAAAAATTACCCGGTTTATGATTATTTTGGCATAAATTGGTGGAATGATTGCAACTAATAGGGTTTAGCAAGCTCCTTGCAAAGAAAAAAAAAAACCGTCCAACTGGCCTTACAATTTGACAGCTTCATAGAGTTTTGTCGCTTGGAATCTCACATCTTCATGGGTGTGTTGTGTTGAAAGAACAGATGACTTAGACACAATCTTCTCATGCACATTGACTCCAAAGATAGCGGCATACCTTGCAAACACAAAAATGGGATTTAGCAGAATTTCTAGTGGAACATGCACAGTAAAATCTTCAGTACGTTATAGTATACATACATGGTATCAGGAGATGCAGCCTTGTCCTCTGCAGGAAGATCCACTGTTGGGTCCAACTGCTGTTGCTTTGCGGCAGTTGTTAGATTAGCCAATAGAGTTACCACTCGCAATAGTATATCCTCTTGAGTGTGTGGATCCAACAAATAGATGAGCTTTCGTGGAGCCTGCAATTAGAACACAAAGATAAGAGACTATCTTTCTTTAATTTGCAAGAGACACTCCCTTTAGGTCCAAAATGAAACCAAAGCTTCCTATTGTGCACCTCAGTGCTGCAACATGGTAGCTTAAACTAACCTGTGCAGCAAGCAGGCTAGGTACCATGTCCTCATTACAAGACAGGTTGATCAGCAATCTGAGAGATTGCAATTTTATTGCTGGGTTCCCATTGTCAACAAGCCGGTATAAAGAATGCAGAGCAATATAAAACTCATCGTGCCAGTCTGTTAATACAGCTACATTGGTGAGTGCCACTAGAGCTGCCAGTAGGAGAGCCTCACTCATACCACCAAAGCTTCCTCGGTTGCTGTTGTGAGACTTGCCATCAGTCGCATCACCATTAGCAACTTGAGAGTTAGCTAGATCACTTCTATTGACGTAAGAAAGAAGCATGGGAATAGCATCCTGAAATAATTTGAAAGATTTGTTAATGTCTGTTAAAAGTGAACATCTTTATAGTACTTTTGTTGATTTAAAAATTACCTTAAGCTCCTTTTGATTTTCTTGATTTAAGGCAAGATTTGCAAGAGCTTTGATGGCTGCCAGTTGAATATTTTGTTTTGGATGTTGAAGAAGATTTTGCAATCTGAAAAGTCCACCAGCTTCCCGAATCATGTCCTGCAACACGATATTAAATGTGTAATTGTTGATCAAACACATCAGAAACTTCTCTTTTTCTGAGATTGAAGTCAATGGTAATCACCTGATTAGCTGTAAATGTACTACAATTTGCTATAGTTGTTAATGTTCTTTCAAGGAGTGCATCATCACTGCTGTGCAGCAATGCTATCAGGCTCTTGGCCTCATGAACAGAAATCACCCTGAAACATAATCAAAGATCAGACATTTTGCAGACAAAGAATCAACTGAGAAGTACTGGACAAATTATTCACCTATCACGATGTCCAACTGTGTCCAATCTCATTCTGAGTTCTTCTTCGTCATCTCGTAAAAGTCGTTCAGCTTCCCTCCTCATTTCATCATCTCGGTGCCGCGGAGTTTCAGGGCTCCGAGAGTTCCTACTGACTGGGGTTCCATGCCTCACTGAGCGCCGCATCCACCGGCGATGCATAGGTGACCCCGCTACAAGCACCATGTCTCCACCTGATATACGTAGAGTGCCAGAATCACCAGTGCCAAGGCCAGACAGATTTTCTGTTGACCGGCTGGCTAGGAATGTGCGAACATCAACTGGGCTCAAAATGCGAGGGGAGCTCCATGGTGAACACTGTATGATGCAACAGAAAAATCAACTTTCATGAGACCAGAATCATATACTTCTTAAAATAATATTAGAAGCTGTCAAAAGTTAAAGTCAGTTGAAAATCCAACTGATTTTACCTGAAGGCTCCTTGGGCCGGTCTTGGGGCTTTGTCCTGGGGAGGGCACGCCAGCCTGAATGGCAAGCATTGTGTCGGTAAACATCCTTGCTCGACAATTTAAATCCCGTATCCTTTCTTGAACGGTAAGAGGGCGTAGCACAATTCGCCCTGAATCGGCATCCAGATCAAGATTTCCAAGTAGAACATCTGTCTGGGTTGTTTGAGATAGCCTTCTGAAGTACAGGCGATGCTCCCCTTGTTCATATCCTGCAAGAAGAAACATTTTTAGCAATGCGTTTGTTGCTCATTTTGCGACAGAGATTAGACAGGCCCCAAGATTATAAGTCAATCTAAATGTACTCAACTCCTTCAACTATTTAATTGAAAAATATAAGTACATCATGATATGCTAGACGCAGTTGCTGGAACTAGATGGCAATGTGTAGTGGAAATGCTGACTCTAACCTTCGCATTCCCCGCGTCGACCTAGTTTCCGACAGAAGGCCGTCCGCACCACTGAGTAGCCGACATAAGCAAATCCAGCGAAGATCGCGGAGCAAAGGGCCACCTTGTTGACAGTTTTGTCTCCTGAAGCAGCCGACATCTTTCTTAAATGGCAATTCTGGGCAATGCTAAAATCGTAATCTTTGTTTCCCAGCGGTCAGCCCGAAGAGTGTGACGACATTATGAGACGTGCAGGCGAATCGACGTTAACAGACGATTTTTTCCATCCATTTAACACATTTGCGAGTGTTGCGAATATTTTCTGAACAATCGAAATTCATTCGTACACAGGCACTGCCCTAACATGAACAAGCAGCAGAAGAAAAACATTTGCCGTCTGCACAGCAAGGTCACGAGACACGACACTGTAGTGCTGCCAACCTGAGAAACTCAGCACGCAGCAACTGTTGCTGGCCTCTCTTGTACCGTAACTTGAAAAACTGGGACAAATCAGACGGGCGATATTTAAGTAAACAGTGGGCTCAATCATTTATTTAATCCCTGCTTAGTGACAGCAACTCTCAACCCAAGCTGGACACCAAGTAAAATTTGCAGTTGTGGCTGCTATGCAGACAAGCGGATGCCACTAACTTGAAGCATCCGCTGAACATGTTCGGGGCTCGGGCCTCGGACTGCCTGGCTGCAACTTGTTGTTCGGAGGACTTTCGAGCAGTTCCCAGAGTGGCAGCGAGTCGCAACGCATTGCTGGCGTTTGGGCAATTTTCTTTGGGGATAGCCATGGTCTTGATCATCGCTCGAGAAATCCAGCACCGGCCGTTCATCGTGGACTGTACGTCGGGAACTTGACTTGCATGAACCGGCGCGCGAGCGCGGTGCGAAAGTGCGGACCGCAGCCGAACGACATCACGGGCAGCACATCGCAAGACACGCATCGCAAAAAAAAAATAAAATAAAAATGGCTTTTTTACTTAGGAGAGGCGCACTGTAGGTCAGTGCAAGCAAACCTGAGCTGGCACTCGGAAAAGGGAGGGGGAGCAGTGGACATTGCAGCAGGGACTGCATGAAAGGGGCTCAGCATGGGCAGGGCGTCCACGGTCACGGGGTGCTTTGTGTTGGCATATTGATGGTCCCTGCGGAGGACTGGACCTGAGTCCGCGCTGCCGCGCTGCAGCGACGCGCCATGGCCCAGGGCGTCCAGGGCGGCGCGGGGCGGCTGCAGGATCTGCAGCTGCATGGCGGCAGAATCGGCGGCCGGGGTGGCGTGCGGTGGGGTGGGGTGGGGGTGGCGGCAGGGTTGGGGTGGCGGCGGAGCGGCGGCACGGCGCGGCGGCAGCACGGCGCCTCTCTATCGATTCGCGGACTCACCCCTCCGCGCCGCCCCCGCCGCCCCGCCCCGCGCCGCCCCGCGCCTCACTCACCCTCGCCGCCGTGCCGCCGCAGCCACCGCCTCGCTGAGTCGCCTCGCAGAGTCAGGACGCTGAGGACGCCGCCGTCCTGGAGTGGCGCGTGCCGTGGTGCCGGTGACTGGCGCACGGCGACAGGGCACGGCGACAGGGCACGCCCCGGGACGCCGAGGACGCGCGTCCGCGCAGCACCTGGCCGTCGCAGCATCCCGACGTGACCGCCGCACCCCGCCACGGCCATGATCGGCACCTTTTGGAACCTGTGCCGCGCCTGCCCGGCCAAGCCGGTGGACAAGGTGAGCCTCCCGCCCTCCGCCCCCCGGCCTACCACAAGGGCGCCGCCGGCGTGGACAGCGTGGCAGCGCTGGCATTATTTGTGTGCGCCGAGCACGCGGTCTCGCGGCCCCGCGGCCCCGCGTCCACGCCACTGGCATGCCGGGGCATGCCGGTGTGGTGGCGGAAACGCGCAGCGACACCCCCTGGGCCTGGGCCCCTGGGCATGCCGACGGCGCCGACGGCCGAGGCGGCGATACCGCTGTGATTTGTGTGCTGCTTGTACGGAATGGGTAAATTAGCCTCACGCCGGCACAGCCAACGAAGCCGTCTCTGCCGTCCGGGCCTCGGCAACCCGAAGAAGCCACTTCACCGTCATCTTGACGTTATTTCGACTAGCCGAGGTCAAAATTTCGACGAAGTTATGCGTCAGTTTGTTGTCATTCTTACGTCTCGTGACCGATTTGTAACCGTTTGTGTCATTCCAGAGTGTCAGCTAGGATACACATGATGTACTTTAACAAGAGAGAGCGTATTGTTGGTGTAGGGTGCAGAGGAGTACCTACCTAGAAGACGTACTCATCGACCTGGGTGGCCTGTGTACCTGCACTGCATTTTTCATCACGGCGGTTCGTTTGTACCGCCCTTTGACCCGACGGCACACTTCTTTGTGGCGAACACTGTACAAAGTGACTCATGCACTCTCCGGCGCGTGCGACGGGGCGGTTGCACTGGGTGCACCGCGTCCTGGACGAGTCCCTCCAAGCCGTTACGGTGCCCGGCGTCGTCCCGGATCTCCCGAGGGAAGGACCCCGGAGCTCGGAGCCCGGAGCCGGAGCCCGGAAGTGCGCGGCCTAGTCGCGGCGCCCGCCCCGGCTAGCGTAGCGCCCCCCGCCCGGCGCGGCCCGGCCCGTCCGGAGGGGTGACTTTTTACGACAGCCAAAGTACTTGGTGTCCGCAGTACAGGCGGCGTCGTTGCTGGCCTTGCCGCACGCTCCCCCGGTCGCAGAGGCAACCCCCCGGTCGACATGCAACTTGGTGGGGCTCTTTGAGGCGAGCAGCGAGACCACCAAAAGAGCGAGGCGAGCCCCGCCCGAACTAGGTTTACATTCGGCTCTGGACGCTGCGAGTGACTCAAAGCGCCTAATCAGACACGCGCCAAGATTCTGGCCGGCAAACTTTGATAAGGATGGGCGGCTCTTCGCCTTGGCGGCACTCCTTGACGTGACGCCAGAGAGGCAGTTTGAGATAGTTGGCCGCGCGACCCACCACGGCCCTCGCTCGGCCGGCCCTTTCCGGAAGGGCAGAAGCGGCAAAAGCCGGTTAACCTTTCGCTGCACACAAGAGGCGCCCTTGGTTCGGACATGCAGCAAGGGCCAGTGAGTGCAGAAACGGTATTTTTCATGTGTGTGAATGAAAACCAAAAACCCCGTTCCATGCAGTTGGAATGGATGTTTTCGTGAAGTTTATCTTGTTCGAAATGAGTGAGTTGGCGTGCTCTCTGGCCAAGGTAGGCTCGCCGACCGGGGGAGATGTGACTCTGAAAAATTTGCACACCCAAATTTTCAGTCCAAGTTCTTCAAAAACTCGATTTAATTCAGCGCGAAGTTCTTTGCGTCGATATGTGGGTGTAGCAGCGATCCATCGAATTAAATTCGCATGAAATTTCATTTGTATTTCTAAAACTTGTACCCGGAAATTCAAAGCCATTTCCCCTCTCCCTGGCTCACCGTCGTCGTGGCCGCGGCGTCCGGTGTCCAGCCCAGCCGCGCCCCAGTTCCAACCAGTTCGTTTTGTTTGGGTTCCCGGTTCCCCCATTAGCGTGTGCGGCTTCTCTGTTCGATCTGAACCTGCGCCGCGCTCCTTGCCGCTCAGCTCGTTCAGAATAATTCGAGTAGAGTTCGTTGTTCAGAGCGGCGAGATGTCGCCGCCGTTCCCGCCGCTGTCGTCGGCGCCCTCATTCCGAGGCGGTGTTGTTGTTGTTGTTGCAGCCGCGGAAACCCGTTTAAACAATGGGGGGCAACGTGATTTAGCGCGCGGAGGATTCGCGCGGATTCCCGCGGATTTCTAGGATTTCTCGCTGCCCCCGCGCTGGCTGTGGCTCGGTGGCAGTATACCCTGCTGGGAAATGAAATTCGAGGTGTCGCCCGCCACTTTTTTTTTTGTCAGTGCAGCAACTACTGCAGCTTCGCCCTGTGCATGTTCGCTTGGCAGCGGCCAGTGGGGCAGTGTCGTGGGGGATTGGTCAGGGGGTGGGGCTTGGGGGGGGGGGGGACGGCACGGGGTGGGATTTACGGGCCTGTATTCAGCATATAACTACCCCCTTTGCGCTAGCGGGGAGGATCAACAGCGACGTTGTTCGCAAAGCGCTCGTTGTTGAGCAAGTCCTCCCGGGAAGAAAAAGAGGGGGGGCAAGCAGCATGAGCTTCAAAGGGAAGCCTCTGCCAAGGATGTGGTGCGCAACATGCTTTTCAAACTTTTAGCGCGGCGGAAGAGGAAGACCGCGACGCGGATAACCGCATCCCCCGCGCCCGCTAAAGGGAGTGGCCGGGGGTCCAAGGCGGTCAACTTCCCGGACGCGTTTCGAGCTCCAGAGGCGCCAAATGGGACTCGAACCGAGCGTGTGACCCCACCAATGGATTCCTCGTTAGGAGAGCAATCCATTGGTAGGGTCACACGTTCGGTTCGAGGCCCATTCAGCGACTCTGGAGCCCGAAACGCGTCTAGAGTTTTGGCCCACTGTGGTGTGGTCAGTGCGTTCGCAGTGTGCTTTGCGCTGGCGCAGGGCAGGAGATGAAGAGGTGGCAACAACCCGGGAGTGAGACCGCGCGGACGCGCTCGCCTCGCTGTTATCATTTACCCCATAATTCAACCGAGAGCAGTTTTATTTAGTTTGATATATGCATTAGGCTGAGGGCCATTTCTCGCAGCCACGCCGTCTGATGACGGGTCGTGTTCGCGCCGCGCCCCCCGCGGGGCCCACGCTGTACTAGTTGGAACGCCACCAAGCCGGAACGCCCCCCCCCTCCACTTTGTACCTCCTCTCCTTCTTCTCCTGCAGCGTCCCTGGACGTCCTGGACCTGCGAGAAGCAAACTAACGAGCTCATTTCAGGGCCGCGATGATATCTCTCCGGCCGGAGAACTTTGCGAGGGGACTGCGCGGCCTGCATGAATGGGGCCGAAATTGGGGCGGGGCCAGGCGGGGCCGGCGGGGAAGAAAGAAATTAGGGGGGCGGGGGTCCTCCGTCGCGGCCTCGCGGGCCTGCGACTGGCCGTGCCGCTTCAAGGGCGCGCTGGAGCGAGTGGAGCGAGCGCCACTCCAACACGACGACGACGATGACGACGCCGGCCTCGAGAAAGCGGGGCGGCCATTCACGGCGCTAACGGGGTGGGTGCGCAGTTTCACACTTCACGTGTCAGAGGCAGCGGCGGCAGCATTCCGAACGGCGCGTCTCGTCGCTCTGTCTCGCTCGCACGGGACGCGCGACAGAGACAGAGCGACGCTTTTTCGCCTACTACCTGCCAGCGCCTGCCACTGCCTGCCTGGCCGTGAGGAGACGGCGCGCTAAAGACCTAAAAAGCCAGCGACGCGTGGCTTGTGTTGTTATTGGCTGCCTGGTCGCACCCCGTGCTCGCACCCCTGCCTTCATGCAGCCCCGCCGCGCCCCGCCGCGCCCCGCCGTACCCCGCCGCCCCCGCCGCGCCCCG